TCCTCCGTATATATAGACCTTGGGACCGTAAAGTGCTCGCCCTGCTACGGCCCCGATCACCCTTAGCACATTGCATCCTATAATGTGCTCGTCGTGCTATGCCTCCGATCATCCTTAGCATCTTGTATCTTGCAGAGTGCTCGTGAGTCTTGGTGCCATAGCACTTTTGTCCAACCCTGATAAGCTGTTTCCTGACTTCCTTAGTGATTGGCTGGGGACGTCCTGCGCCCCACATGGGGCGCGGCCTGCTGTTGGGTTAACTGTGACACCCTATCTTTTCCCCGGCAAAAGAACTCTTAAAAGCTCTTCTTTCTCGGCATTATAAAAGGTATAGTAAAGAGCTAGTACAGCGAAAATATAGCGCTAATAACGATAAAGTATATAAAGAAAAGTTTTATAATAATAATATAGATACGGGGAGATAGGAGAGAAGAGTCGTTTAGTAGGTAGCAAGACGAATGGAATGGCCTCTCTATGTAACTAGAATTAAAAGAAAAAAAGTCGCGCAATAGGTAGGTAAGGAGTAACGGATTTTTTTATACTAAAATAGGTACGACCGAGACTCCCCTAAAACGGAGAGTAATATACTGGCGAGCCTATTTCTTAAAAAGAAAAGTCGCGCAGCAGGCAGGTAGGGAGTGACGGATTTTGTTATGTTAAAATAGCTATCACAACCTAGAGTCCCCTAAAACGGAGAGTAAATACGCTGGCGAGCCTATTTCTTGGTCCCCGTTTTGGCGGAAGATTCGTCCCTGTAGGAGAGGGAGGCTTTAAATTTGGACTATAAGAGCGTCGCGTAAAGTTGTCGATTTTGGAGAATAGCGAGCGTAGGGTGAGCGGTAGTAAGCTTAAGGTAAGCCGAGGATGAAGCGAGCCTGATTTTGGGCTAACCGTTCTTGGACGAGGCAAAAAAGTTTTTAGAGACCGACTACCTAAGTAATTTGGCGCGTCAATGCACAGAAAGTCTACTTTAATAAGCAAAACTTCCTAAAGTGTTCAATGTGGAAGAGTACACTCTCCAGCAGGGGAGCTTGGGTCATTACATTACCTGACATTTGATTTCTTCTTCAATTCAACCACCAGCTGGAAAGAAAAAAGAGGGGAAGTGGGTGTCGAAAGCTTGGGCGTGCTCCGTCTACCGTGCGCTTTCTGTCGCCTCTTGTTGCTCCGGCGAGGACCCCCACCACCCTGCCGCTGGAGAATCTTTTCCAAGCAAACGCCGCCATTTGTAACTCCTCCACTTTTCAAGAAATCTCAGCTAGATGGTTGACAAAGGAGGTCGTCATCAGGTACGTGTCAGTTACTACCAAAATAAATTCTGTCGAATACGATCTTCAATTAAACTTCGTTGCCCCCTTCCCAGCATCCATACCGGCGCTTTGAGGCCTCATCTACTTTTGCCTGCGCCCACAATTCTTTCGCCTTGAACCGCAGCTTCCTACGAAAAGATTTCACATTACGTCAACAAGTCAGCTCGAGCTTATCAGCGCAACCATGACGCACTCATTGCTGCTCCTGACAAGCACCACTATCGTACTGGATAACATCCTCGACCACCTCGAGCTACCCGATGCCCAGGCCATTCATCTCACCTGCAAGCCTATGGACGACTACGTCAATTCCTACCTCGGCAACCGAGCCTGTAGAACGTTTACAGCCGTAGGTTTGAAGCACGCCATCGGCCTCATCCGACTCGCCGAAGTGGTCCAGCATACACCTGAAGCTCAAGGCTCGCCTGATAGTAAGGTCTGCCAATACGCCGAACCCTTGCTGGGTGGCGTGCGCGAACTCCGGCACAACTGCGATCCACCCATGGTCTAGAAGCCGCTCGGAGATTGATGACTATCACCGATATGACTGGATCGTTTGGATGCCGAACTGGCAACTCTGTTGCGTTTAACACCCACTCGACACGGGGATGGCGATTTTAAGGATCATTATCGTCGGCTTTTGCATCCCACAGTGGATGAGGCCAAGAGCGATGTGTTGCAAACTCAGCTGCCGTGGCTCGTTCGCTAGGTATTCTAGAGGAAGGATAGTTTCCTCCCTGCTGAACCTGAGAGGCTAGATACATAGCGACATCTTAGGTTGCTTTAGGCGGTGCATAATGGGTGAGAAATGCACCAATAGGTGCCGTGCCTGATCTGAAACTGGCACAGGGTCGCAGATAGAGGATAACATTTGTGAAATGTCTGATGTGCTGGTCAGTGGAGTGTAGGAACATGCGAATGGTCATTCTTTCTGAGTTAATGTAAAACCTTAGGTCGTCAATTATCAGCTTCACAGAACCCAAATATTCTTGACTCCCGTCTCGTCGACTACGACCCTCATATCATCTTTCCCCAGCCCCTGGAAACGGAACGCTCCAATGCGCTTATACTCATTTTCAACGCCCCCACCCCCTTCTAGCATCAGCCCGGTCCCAGAATTATACGTCACCTTTGGCTTCCTCCATGACACTTCAGATCCAGAAGCCGAATCATCCACCATCACCAATTGCCCATGCTCGTCCGTTTCATGCGCCGATAGCACGAGCAAATACACCTCCCTCCCCTCCTCCAAGACGACATCCGGGAAAAAGTCAAATCTCTTCACCACTGCCACATCCACCACTGATACCCGAACCCCTTGTGTCTTTTGATCCCAGCACCCCCTCACCGTCACCCCCCTGACCGCAAGCTTCTTACCAACCAACTCAGGCTGGTGATCCCTCTTCGGCTCCACCCCTCTAGCCGCCAACTCCGGACTCCCCTCCACATCACCAAGACACTTCACCTCAAACCTAACCTCCCCCCCGTCATGGTGCCTAACCCGGTACCAAGTCCCCGCCAGCCGAAGCCTCGATTGGAGAGAAATCTCCCCTATAGTCGACGCCCACGACCAACTGGGGTGTATCCCCTGCAACCCAGGCAATCTCGTCTCCTCCCTCAACCTCGGGTTAACCACCCTCCATGCTAACTGAAGGTACAAATTCTTGCTCCACAAACCAGCGGCGTACTCCTCCTCTTGGTGGTCGTTCTCATCCCAAGAGCCCTCTTCCCTTAGCCCGTCCCGCACAACCTTTGCGACGCCCCATATGGCTTGGAGGCGGTCGGAGATGTAGTTTGTTAGTTCGCAACGGGTGTAATTTCTGACAGAATCTATCCAGAAGGTTTCGAGGGAGTCATCTGCTGTTCCGGCTCTAATAAGAGCGGGCTGATTAGCGGGGGTTGATCGCATGAGGAGGAGGCGCTCTCGCCAGTGGCGTTCGGTGGCGGAGATGGTGTCGATTTGTCGGGGGAGGCCTTGGGGGAGGGACTCGGAAGCGGAGAGGGTTGCGCAGTCCCAGAGGAGTTGATGGGTGGAGAAGTGGAGGATTCGGGGAGCGAGCATGCGCTCTGAGAAAAGGGGGGTTAGTTTCGTTGGGATGAATGAGAAGGTATGGACGGGGAAAGGAGCGTACCTTGGAAGACCCAGCCTCTGGTGTAAAGGATTTTGTCGAGTAGCTCGTGGCGCCAGTAGTCTTTTGGGAGGATGTACCACTCCCCCGCTATCCCACGCCCACCCTCGATCTTGACAGGTTCATGCAACACCCTCTGTCTGGGGTTCTTTTCGTACGACCTGAAGAGCCCCTGGCTTCCATCCTTGGAGTCAGCGCCGGCAAGGTTGAGGAAGCTATTCCTATACACAAGATGCATCAGCTGCCCCTCTGTCTTGAAATCCCCAGGCGCCTTCTCGCCATCCCACTGGACGATACAGAGTGAGTCGATCCAGATGTACTTGACCCCGAGGGCCCTGGTCACGGTGATGGCGTCTTGGAAGGTCTTGGTGAGCTTGTCCCAGTTCACGCCAACGGACGGGTCGGTGAGTTGGGCATAGTTGGCCTGGATCAGCTTGATGATTTCGATCCTGCCCCAACAATGTGACAGCGTGGTGTAGCGTTCCTTCATGGAGGGGCTGGTGGTGATGATGTGAATTTTGGATGGGTTGGATACGTCGATCAGGCGAGTCGGGAGCCACGAGGAAGAGGTGGAGGATTGAATGGCTTGGCATCTTTCGTGGGAGGTGGAGCATTCGTGTATCCAGGATTGGATCTGGGGAAGAGATCCAGAGGGGGTTATGTTTGTGGTCTTCGGGAGGGTGGTTGCTGGTGTGATTGTGTCTGTGAACCGGTCAACGAGGAGTCTTGATGGATGATGGCGGGGACATGCCTTTCTGGAGGAGATAGAATGCCACTGAACCCTTAAAATGTCCCGTGGAATGGCTGGTGTCCCCGTGATTTTCCGCCTGCGGGCCCGAAAGATGATTGTCGCTTTGACGGAAGGTTATGAGCATGCACTTTTGGTCTTCTCTTGTAGCCGATAGCCACCTGATAGTCCATCGATATGCGCAGTCCACATCGACATTCTTGCCAAGGTGGGAGCAAACAGTGCATTTCTCCAGTTCTGGGTCCTTATCGACGTCCCTGTAATCCTTTCTGTGAAGTCCCCATCGGCGTCTGGATGCGAAAATTGTCTGTTGGCAAAATTTGCAAAGCATTGCGTCCCTTACCCAAAGATGTGTATGCTCAGTGGAAGAAGTGGAAGCGATGGATGGGGTGGGATGAGACTGTGAAAACGGCTGCCTAAGGTAAGGTAAGCTGACAGAAGCTGATTGGCGGCCAGTACCAAAGCGGGGGAAAGGGGGTGGTTGTGGGGGCCGAGAGAGGTAGACTTGTGTCGCCTCAAGAATCTAGCATGTTCCTGGATTCCCAGTGTAACGAAAGACGTGTATCTCAGTTTCATTTTCTTGTCATAGATTTGAAACGGTACGGATATTGCATTTCTTGGAAGCTTGTGAAAGCATCAGGCACGTCCGTGTTACTCTCTTACTCCTTCTCACATTCCCACTCAGACACAAACTCATTATACCGTTCCTTGACGTAGTTGTAGAAGTCAGGATGAAAGCATCTCACATAGTACCGAGTGCCCATCGTTTCAACTGCCAACAGGCCCCCTGCAGCGCCAATTACCTCGTCAACAACTTCAAAGTCTTCAGAATCGAGTAGGTCTTCAAATCCATGACTTCCACATCTGTCACTTTCTTCCAGAAGCCTCATCTTAAGACTCTCAAATTCAACACCGGAAAACTTGAGGCCTTTCTCTGCGTTGCCCACAATTCGGATGGCATGCAACGCCAGCGTTGCCCTGGCCCTCACCTCTCTTGGCGACGTCTTGTCCAGTAACCGACTTCGTATTTGCGCATCTATCAACCGGTCAAACATCTCCACGACGCTCTTCGGGAACCTGTCACTTTTGGCCATCGCCGCATCAAGGGTCTCGGCCTGGTGGATTGTCTCCAGCAGAAGCAAGGCCATGCTGGGGTTGCCGTAAGAAAGCTGGACCAACTTGACCACAAAGTCGACAGCCTCTCTTGAGGGTTCTTCCGTGGTACTACCGGATATCAAGCGTCTGCCAAGGCAGGATAAGGGAGGGTATTCATCTTGGTGAGATCTGAAGGGAGGTTCGAGCGGCCAGAATCGTCCGTGTTCGAGCTGGAGGTTGTGGATGATCAAGGACTTCATGCTGGGCTCGGGGGCGTTGCTAATATCGAATGTCACGGGAAATGGGTTGCTGGTGAGTTCTGGGGGAGAATGTGATCTGTGGCAGGGGTTAGTGACGGGGGTTTGCGCGAGTGAATGCAAATCGATGTGACGGAGCTGAAGATATCTCACTCATTCCCACAAGCATATCCAGCCTCTTTGCACTTCTGGCAGATCCAGAAGGGCCCTCCAGTGCTATCGTGGTCCAAATTACATTCCCACCACGCTATCAGACCAGGTCGACCTTCATGTTGTTCTTCATCGTGATCGTACTCATTCTCGAGAGAAACGTCGCAAATTGGTTTCTGAGTAGAGAGTTGAAAAGGAGTACGAGAGGTGAGGAGGACTCTGACGCCAATGCCACGAAGTTGCTCCAGTCGTTCTTCCACTTCGAGATATTCTTTCCTGATAGGCCACAGACAGTCGAGGTCGTCCACCACAAGCCAGACGTCTGAGAGTCGGAAGAGCTTGAATCTGATACTGTTGAGAAGTGCTGTACCGTCGATCTGAGTCTGAGGGGAGGGAGGTGGAGAAAGATCGCTGTTGACACCAATCTTGGCATCGATTTGTTTCTCAATCTCCGCCAAGAATTGAACGCCGAATGGAATGGCGTTTTGTTCCTGGTGAACCGCTGCGCTGGCATCACGAACAGTGAGGGGCTTGAGAAATACTGACAAGACAAGAGGCGGCTTTTGATGGTTATGATGGGCTTGGTCATTCTGTCGGAGACGGTTTACTGCCAGTGCGGCGAACGAAGTCTTGCCGGATCCTGGGCCACCTACCAGCCTCAGAAGGCGAGAAGGAACGCTCTTGACCCAGCGATCATACTCCAAGCTGTCAAAAATATAGTCAAAAAACCATGGTGCCGGCGGTCCCAGGCAGTCGGCAGGATTGGACGAGATGATAACCCCGTCAACAACTTGTGAAGGTGAAGACATTCTAATAAGATAATGAGTGTACGGATAGCAAATGGTGTGATGGACCTGTGCGAAAGTGGGGTGGATATCACCAGCATCAAATAGTGTTCTTGGCCATCGAGCGGGGGAGGTGGAAGGAATGGCTTGCTGCATGGCCATCACAATATCAGGCAAGCCATCTTCATGCAGCTTCCTGCGTCTAAAATCTGACACCGGATAGAATAAGAGTGCCAAGGTGAGGCTGGCCGTCGCTTTCCAATGAACATATAGCACACACGGTGCACCTGCCCAAATAAGGGATCAAGGTAACATTGAATACGCTAATGCATGGTACCGATCCACTCAGCCCCCAAAAGCCCTCACGCCTTGGCGCCGTTTCATTGAGCTAGGCAGGAACCTGCTATCTGCAGCAAGAAGGTAACTGGTCAGCGGTACCTGCCAAATAGGTCGAGGGAAATTGGAGGGGTTTTGGGGGGCTAAAAGCTGACTGATCATAAGCGATTGGCTGATTTTTACGACTCCGAGAACCGCATGTTTTCTTTGGAGGTTGCCTTACACTATTTTCGTGTTCGCGGCTCTGCAGGATGCGCCGAGGAGGGACGGGAGGGGAGCAATAAGAATGGGATTTAAGCAAAAGGGACGGGCCTCCCTCGTTGCCACGATGTGGACAGCGACTGTGAAGGACTTTTGTTTGCGTCTGTTACACGGCCATGACGTTCGTTCCCAGATTGCTCCTCTGGAGCAGCTTCGTTCTTTCAGGCATTTTTGACTCTGTCAATGCCAGGCCGGGACCGCGTCCGAGTCTACTCAATCGACGTGCGGCAAACGATACGGGCAGACCATGTGGTGCGCTCTTCGATATCATTGAGGAGGACCTCAAGCTACGTGAGGGATTTCCCCAGTTATTTATGTTGACGAAACTGACGCCATCACAGAGTTCTTCCCCGTATTCAACGCCTCTGACGTCTACTCTTGTTTAACCGCCGTCCCCTTCCTCAAAGACGTTGGACTCCGCTTCATCGAGTACTACAACACCACCTTGCAGTTCCAAAGCACGTTGGCCTACCTCGAGTCTCCTCCTGCCGAGTATCAACAACCAGCAGTCGACGTGGTTGCCGAACTTGGGAGAGTCAAGCAGAAGGTCCTCGATGATCAGTACACCAGACAATTGGATTTCGAATACGACATCCACTCCATCGTCCACGCCATCCACGACGACCATGTCAATCTCTACATTGGCATCACCGCCGCTTTCAGCTTTGCAAGCCCCTTCGACTTCGTCTCTGCCTCTCTGGATGGGAAAGCACTACCAAGAATTTACCTGAAGGATGATATTGTGAAAGCACGGAACAACGGCTGGGCGGAAGAGCCGTCTCCAGTGGCGACCATCAATGGTGTTGATGCCACTGAATTCCTTGCCCAGTTCTCCAGCCGGAACGCGTTTGGCTATCTCGAAAGTCATGCCGATTGGAACGACATGTTTGAGCACCCCACCAACGATATCCAGGGCTTCTACGGCACTCTGGGCGGTCAACTCCTGTTCTATCCAGGCAATGGACTTGACGACACTTTTAACGTGAAGCTAGAGGATGGAACCGAATGGAACGACAACTGGCTCGCTCTCCTGAATCAAATCCACAGCCCTGGACCTCTCGAGACTGCTGGGGACTTTTACAACTATTTCGTCCTCGGCTTAACGCCGCCAGTGGAAGTCATCGAGGACTCATCGGATTCCGGTCTCGTCTTTGACTTTGAAGGAGAGGATGGCTTGAAACTTATCGAGATCAAGATCGATACGGACTGGTTAGAAGAGAGTGACGAGGCATTCCCAAAGCCCGAAGTTGCGCAGCCGTTTCTCACTATTTCTGGCGGTGGAGTAGTCACCGGCTACTTCCAGGATGACGTTGGAATTCTTTCCATCCCGACCTTCGAGCAGTTCCCCGAAGAGGCCAAGAATTTCAGCAACACAGTCCAGGAGTTCATCACCAAGGCGGAGGACAGGAACGTGAAAAAGATCATCATCGATCTCCAACAGAACCGAGGTGGATCCCCCAACCTTGCCTTCGACACATTCCGTCGTTTCTTCCCCCAGGAGCCTGATTCCCTGCCGTGGACCTGGGCTGGCAGTCGCAGACGAAGCCATCCTCTGGGTGATTTGGTGGGAGATACCATTACCGAGTGGTGGAAAGGGTTGGATCCCGAAGACGATGTGCAACTGTTTGATCAGTGGGATGAGGCAGCCAACGAGTTTGTCGTCGCCACCAAAATCAACCCTCTCACAAACACTACGTATGACAACTGGGCCCAGTACAGTCCCGGATCGGCCAGCTACCGCGAGGATACGTTCTCAAAGGTCGAGAGACTGAACCTCTCCGACGATCAAGTTCTTTACTCGGCATTCAGCATCGAGACGGCGGAAGACGACCCGTACGGCTATGGCGGCAATCCTGTCACCACCAAGCAGGCGTGGAAGCCCGAAGACATCGTCATTCTCACTGATGGCCTCTGCTCGTCCACCTGCTCCCTCTTTGTTGGGTTCATGACCCAAGCGGGTGTACGTACCATCGTCGCTGGTGGCCGTCCCGAGACGGGTCCGATGCAAGCTGTCTCTGGAAGCCGTGGCACACGCGCTTACTCCAACCATATTCTCGACTGGATGTTCCAGTTCACCGGCCAACTCCTACCGGACAACTCGTCACTCCCAAACATTCCCATCGACTACGAAACAAGAGACACCGGGCTCTGGGTTCACCACGCCGGGCTTAACCTCCGCGATGAGATCCTCAAGTCTGACTGGGAGAAGGATCCCAACGCCGAGCACGTCCCGAGGCAGTTCCAGTACGAGGCCGCCCACTGTCGCATTTTCTACACTGTCCGCAACATCTACAACATGACACAGCTGTGGAGCGATGTCGCCAAAGCTGCCTGGACAGACCCCAGTCTTTGCGTCGACGACTCGACGGGATACGCCAAATTGCCCAACCAGCCTGCTCCTGTCCCAGCTCCCACCCGGCCCACCGCTCAAGACGCCCAAATAGTCATCAACACCACGACTACCCGAGGCGGCCCCGGCCAAGACCCCGACGGTGTCCCCATCTTCAACGAAGGCGACATCGTAGCCGGCTTCGCCGTCAAAAGAGCCGGCCTCGAGCCATGCGGAGCAGGTGACAAGTGCCCAAGCAACTCCATATGTGAGCCTATCAAGGTCGCCTGCGCCAATGGGGAGAGGCCCAAGGCGACCGAGGCAAAGTACTGCCTTCCTCTTTGCAAGCCGGCAGTGGACACCTGCGCACATTTTGCTAGTGATGTCAAGATTAACGGTGCGTTGAGGTGCGATCTGAGGTATGAGGCTGTGACCAAGAGCAGGAAGCATGATTTTGTGGGGTTGTGTGCGCCGAGGGAGGGGATCAAGCCGCAGAATTTGTGTCCGGGGAGGCCGACGGCATGAGGGGAGGTGTGAAAGCTTTGAGAGTCCTTTTTCTTGGTATAAGCGGGAATAATGTATTGTAGCTATGAGAGGGGTTTTGAGTTTAAGGAAGAGAAGTTGTACACAAATAGGGAAACATTGATCGCTCCGGAGAACTAGCTAACAGTCTCTGCATATGTATTATCTATTATATTCGGCCTACAATAAAGGTCTATGAACTATGTCCAAGTCCTGTGGCGTACACGCTTCCCAGAGACTTATCAATGCGGTTTGCAACGTGCATTACATCGCCAGCAAGGCGGCCACCATGGCGCCAACCACGCCGACCACTGGTCTGGTAGATCCTCCGGTAGGGATTGGCTTCTGGGTTGGCACGGGCGCAGTCCCGTTGGAGAAGATGGAAGAAGTCGTCTCAATCACCACCAAAGTCGACTCAGAAGTGGGGGCCGTGGTGATTGTCTCGATGGTTGTCAACCCGGTGCTCGTGTTCGGGATCACTGTATCAGTAACAGTGACAGGTTCACTGGTTGATGATGTCTCGGTGGCCGAGGTCGACGTCTGGGGCACTGGAACAGAGGTTGACGAAGGCGGGATCACAGTCGAGGTAGTTGTCGTCTTCGGCAGCAAGCTGTACCAAGAAGGAGGAACCGCATACTCGGCCTCGGGACAACGGCAAGCCCCGTCAGGCGGCAACTGTCCACCTTGGTTGTAGCCGTAGAAGCAGTTCTGGCTCTGGATCTCACAGCGGTAGCGGGGAACTGTGTCGTAGTAGGTCTCGAGATCGGGGAGGGCGCCGTCCTCGCAGTTGCAGATGAAGCAGTAGGTGTTGGAGTTGAAGGGGTTGTCGACGCCGCCGTTGTTGGACACGCAGGCGTTCTCGCCTTCGACGACGCCTCCTCTTGACTTGCACAGGGCCTCACAGGTGTTGATCTGGCGGGGGCAGACGGTGTTGCCTGTGAGATGTTAGCATCTGATTGAACAAGAATCGGGTAGGGCTGGAACGAACTGAAAGATACACTTCTGCCGGGCTGGGTGCGGCGGGGTGGCGTGAGACACGTCCATCCTTCCTGTCGCAGCGCTCTATCCCACCCAGGAACACTCGTGTCAACACCCGATGTTGCTGAGCACACACCAACCAAACCGAACACGAGGGCCGCGATGCCCGCCGCTGATGAGAATGAGCGCATTTTTGGTAATGAGTGAAGGGGTGATCAAATGAATGACTGGTGATCAAAAGAGTGACGGATGGTGGGAGGGACAACTTGCGTGTCTGACCATACTGGGCGCGCATGTCCTTAAAAACATCTTCAAGGCATGTTGCGTAGGGGCTGTTGGTTGAACGGTTCGAGGCTATTGACAAAAGCTCTCCATAATCACACCCTGCTAAAATGAGTGCAACGTCGTTGACTCCACTATCAGGCCGTGTGCGCGGGCCGTGGTGACGCTTTAGTTTTACTGGCGAATCATCGTGATAGTTCCAATGACAAAGATTAAATCCGTGCCGCAAGATTCCACTCTTTTTCGACGACACATGCGAGGCACGCAGGACATTCGCATAGGGAGACGCAGTAGCTTCGCTATGTGACACTGTGCATTTATTTGCCTACAACGGCGGTGGCCAGGTAGGTAGGTAGGTAGACCGCTGCTGTCTTCGTCCCACAGGGGGTCATGACTTGCCTCGACATGGTCGAACCACATAAACTTCATGGCGTGCATGCCATATCTTTTGGCATCAGTGATGACTCCTTGGCAAGATGGGATCTCGGGGAGGTCGTCGGTTTGATTGCTACAAGCTGAAGGACCTGGATCATGACATCGTCCTCATACTGAATGGTGGGATTCATATGCTGTGAAGGTCGAGATGAGGGCAGAAAAAATAAGTAGAATTGATCTGCTAGATAACAAAGGAAAAGAAAGCATGAAAGAAGGTAGAAATTCAAGCAACATATATCCCAAGATCCAAAAGGAAACACTAGAATAAACGCAATATATCCAGGACGAGTGCCGAGCCCTTCTACACCCAATATCTCTGAATGAAGCTATCTTCAGACGTAAGTTGCATTAGGGTAGTAGCCGTAGGCCGAGGTCTTCGCCACTCTCACCAGGGTTGTGGTTAGAATTCTGATTTAGGTAGGTAGAGTCGCGCCTTCATATATGCCGATCATGCATTGTTTAACTAATCAAAGCACCTGATAGAGCCACATCGCTTAGCCGAAGACTCACTAGAATCTGCATCAGTCTAGTCCTGCTAACATGAGTCCTACAGGCATCTCCGTGACCAATCCAACTCGTCTTTACCACCCTACCCAAGTCCCATTCCAAGCAGATCAAAACTCAGCTACTGCCTTTCTGACGTCCTCATCCCTGATAGCCTTTTGGACCACTGGAATCTCTGGAATTTGCCCAGGGTCGAGAACCTGACTGTCTAAGCCGAGATCATACAGCTGCAGCGGGCTATACTTGATCTTTCCTGTGGACTCCAAGAAACGTTCATACGGATTCTTGCCGAGGGATTTAGCCAAGTTAACCAGTTGGAGGACAGGAGGCGGCATCTGGGAGGTCGTGGTCTCAACTGATCCAAGCTGGAGTGCCGCCGTTGTATCCGCGTCCCACATCACCCAGGCCAGGCATCGGTAGTTCTGGATGCAAACGAAATCCTCGTAGATCCCTGGGGCGCGAAAGAACCTTGGCTGTGACAGGGTCATCCGGGTGTTGTTTCGATCTTCAACCTGGATTGGGAACTGGCTTGCGTAGGCTGACCATGCGGCATTGGGTCCGAGAGGGTCCGTCCACTTGGGCACATTCCATTTGATGTCGTCGGAATGATCTTGACCTTGAACTTGCGAAAGGTTAGGATGGCCGTCATGGTTAAATGGAACATCAGTAAACCGTAGTCTTTGTTGCCTGGAAGCGTAGTGCTTATCGTACTATGCAAGGGACCAAGATGGTTAGCCGGCAACTATCTTGGGACTGATACAACAATAATACTTACGAAGCGTCGATAGAAGGCCTGGCTGATCTGATATCTGAAAAGCCATCTGAGTGCTTTGGTGCGCGTGTCGTGAGTGAGCCGACGCAGGCCTTGGCATTCCATGAAATCGAGTGCGCAGAGAAGCTCCTCGACTTCCCAACGATGCAGTTTGTGAAAGGCTCTGTCTGTGATATCCTTGGAAAAAACAGCATGTAGAAAGAACAGCAATTCTGCTCGAACGAATGCCCTTTCTAGCCTGGCGACCTCAGTTTGGGAGAGGGGTCGTCGATGGCTTCCAACGGCGGTGCTCAGGGTCCTCAATTTCTCTTCGTAAACACGTTTGTCGAAGTACCGGTACTTGGGTTTCCACATCGGTGCGAGCCATGCAGGTTCCTCAACTCGGATCCATCTTTCGGCTTTATCGGCAAGTCGTCGTTGGATCCGCAAGACAAATCGAACAAACCTTGCCGCGAGCTCCTCAACACGGCAGAGGTCAAACAAAATCCGCGGTGTGGTAATCGAAAGAAGGTCTTGCTCCTCATCGAGGATCTGCATGGCCAACTTAGTGTCCTGGCTTGTAGGATGTTCGAGCTGACAATGCCTAGCCATGTCGCACAAGCGGACGAAAATCAAGGCCACTTTAAGACCTTCTCTGGTGAACTTTCTCCTGGCCCGCCGGACCAGGTACGTAGAAATGTAGTCATTTAGGAATCTCTGTGTCCGATAGAGAGTTAGGACATCATCCATGGCGCATTTATCAATGATATTGTCCATGACCAATGACACTCCCATCAACGACAAAAGATTCAGGTGACGGGCCATCTGGACGGTGACGTAAATCTAATGACAATCAGCAAACATTATTGACAGAGGGGAGATGTGTCCAAACAACTTAGACAGATGACATGAAGTGAAGTGTCTGTGTAAGTTTCTGATTTGTGCAGCTCCTTTTCCGTCTTCGCCGTTGATTGCTGGAACTGCAGGTAGGTATTTGACACCAGTGTCGTAGAGACTCGTAAAAGTCGGAAAGAGCCCCAGCAAGGGAGATGCGGAGGGAGAAGACCAGAAAAAAGAGCATGGAAAAGATGGGGGGAAAGAAGAGGGAGAGGAGGAAGGAGAGAGCAGGGAGAACAGGAGGGAAGTGACCGTCTCGAGGTGGATCAGGCTACTGGCAGGGCAGGATAGTCTTGCTCTACGGTTCACTTTTGGCTCCCAGCAGCCAATTCACTCGCGATACAGAACTAGGTTTTCAAGACCGCGGGTCCTTCCAAGGTGGGTCTGGAGCAGATCAAGGGCAGGATAGTATCGGAGCAGGATTAGAAGAAAAGATGCCAGGTGAATTGAGAAACTTCACGTTCACTGCGCCAGGGCAATGAGTGCAAAGTGCAAAAAAAGATAGAAGAAGGCCGGACCCCGACGCAGAACAAGAGTAACAATAGTCTGGCACACTGTGATAGGGAAAAAAAAAAGCTTAGTGACGCGGAGGCTTGTATACCTCGAACGGGTGGTGTTTTGGAAGCCCTCCACAGACTGGAGCCACACAAACAAACAAAACAAAAGCTTATCGCGCAGTATAGATATTTATTCGAAATCTTTTGGTTCACGTACCTCACATTTGTTTTCCACACTGTCACCTCTTTCGACATCATCTACTGCCATCTTCTTACTTTTCCGACCACCTAATTGCACCTTTACCAAGATCAACCACGATGGGTACTAATCTCGATCTCCTATCGCTCACCCGGGTCACACTGGCTATAGACTAGATCCTAGATTACTGCTCGATGGACGACACTGGTGCTCTTTTCCGAACCAGTTCCGGCCTCCACCAGTATGTCTGCGACCAATACGTAACCCGTCGCGTAACACGGAGACTCACAGTCGAAGGTTGGAAAGCAGCAATTACCTTGGCTCGCCTCTATAGTGTCGGCACGGTCCGCGAACCAAGGGACATTCGCCACCCGAGTGAGAGAAGCAACAGCAATCATCGATGAAAGCCCAGATTTATAGTCCATCCCAACCCCCCGGATGATGTTCGTTCTCGGCCGTGTGGAAGTAGCCACAGGCCACTTCGTTCAACATGTTCTCCGTGCCCAAAGACTGCTGGCAGACCACTCTGTCGAGTGGATGGGGTTGCGGGAACCGCAATGGCTGACCGGAAGAAGCCCACATTCAATATTGCCCCCAAATCCCAGCACGGAATGCCACGAGACTTTACTGGCCACCATAGGCAGAAGGCGCAGACCACTGTCGACGACAGAACGAGCGATGATTGAGCGAGGATTTATTCGTGCTGAGACCATCCTTTTGATACGAGCCTTCTTTCCTGCTCTTGGCAATAACGTCCTCTTCACTATGGCCTCACCCTGCCTGACTATACGATTCTTCCGGCACCTTCACAACTGGGAACTTGAGGAAGCGATGACGGCACTGGACTTCTTGTACTGTCAGTCTATCCCAGCTTGACCCGTCGCTCAAATGCCTCAGTGGGCTCATCGGGCATCAACTTGACCGGGTCTACGAACGTAAGGCAGTTTACTGTGTGCGCCAAAATCGCGTGGTTCATGACCTGAATGGGAGCTTTGTGGTTCATGGAGCATGCACGGGAGGATCTGATGCTCATGTCGGGGGTGGGCATTGACCACAGAGACCTGGGCGTGAGAGGATCTGCGATTATTCGTGTGCGCTTTTCCTGCCGACTGAAAGAGGTAGGTCGGAATTTGCATGGGAAAGTCGACAGCCTGGGGCCTAACCATGCGTGGTCGACCCACGTGAGTCAGTTCGGTAAACAACGGAGAGCGTCGCCGTTTGGCGTTCCTGACCTTCACCATCCGTACAATTGGTATATGGTTAATTATCGGGCGCTTGGTTGGGTTTGGCTTGACAGAGAATCATTTGACGCTCTTCAACTCGGGTCTGTTGATGTCGACTTTGGGGGTATGGACTGGGAGGAGACAACAAGCCCATAGGCGAGCGGGAAGCCACAAGGCCCCCACCACCCTTTGACAGCTCGCTCCACTCTTGGCGCGGCCCAACTCGGCACTTCACGTTGGCAGCTATCACTTGTTAAGTGTTGCCGTCCAGGTACTTACTGAGCCTACCTACCTAGACAAATCGCGTACGCGACTACTCTCGATTCAGCATGATAGTGCGATTACCCTAGTCTTAATGTCATCTCAACTAGGGTTAGGTTCCAAGGCAGTGAATGAAGCAAGTCATACATACCTACATAATCGTAAGCAATCACGATTTGGGGTGAAAAGAAATGATGTGGTGATCGGTGCACGGGCCATATCAAGCCATTCGGTGATGTCGCTGACAGCACAGCCACCAATAGCGGCGATGACCAACAAGTGCCATGATGATGAGCAGATTCCAGATACTTCTAATGGCAAGTCTGCTGTCAGCTTTCATCCCGCTGTAAACTGTTGGCTGCACAAACGTTGCATTGACTCCCACCATTCGCGGCGTGGTGAGGTTCGCGGGGAGTCCCAAAGCGGCCAATGAAACGGCCCGGATGTCAGACAGCTTCTTGTTCTCCGTGTCCGTGTCACCGTTTTTGACGACGTGTGCTTGCTTTCATGCTTCACTCATCGACATGCAAACAACCCGCCCAAACTAAACCTCGTCTCTAACCCGAAGCCATGTCCGCCGATCAAAGTTCAGACGAAACCCTCTCCAAATGCACCATTCTCCTCGTCACCGGGACAGGCGGCTTCACTCACGCAGGTAATCTCTCTTTCTTTATCGCCCACTCTCTTTTCCATCAACCTCTAACCCCCTCCTCCCCATACTTCAGCCCCAGTCCTCGAACTCGGCCGCCTGCTCGCCTCCCGCGGGCACACAATCCACTTCGCAACCCACAAAACCCAAGAGAAATGGATCCTCACCAACCCCTCCTACGCCTTCATCTTCCCTGCCCACATCCACCCCATGGGCGACCCTTTAACGCCCCAACAAGAAGAAGCCCACTACCTCGCCCTCCAAAACACCGACATCCGCGTTGATTACAAGTCTTACTTCGCGCCCAAATATACAGTCGACGCCTTCTGGACGTCAGATTACACCCACCTCCTCCGCATCACCAAAGCCATCTCCCCCGACGCGATCGTAACTGATTTCTTTGTCGAGGCAACAAGGGATATGCAAAAACAGTTTGGCGTTCCAGTGGCGATGGTCTGGCCACAGATGCCGTACGGGATGGTATCAGCGGGGCATATCCCCGGAATTCCTGGGTTTCAAGTCGATGCCCTGACTTCGGAAAAGGCAAGCCTTTGGCAGAGGATACGCGCGGCACTGAGGCCGTTGAGGGCAATCACGACGGTGGTGCCGTATTTGAGGTGGGTCAAGAGGATGAGGAGAGAGGCCGGAGTGAATTACCCCCTGGCCGGGGTGACAGCGGGGAAGCCGGATTATCTGGGTTTGGTGAATAGCTTTTGGGGGTTGGAGACGCCAAAAGATTGCCCGCCGCTTTTGCAGGCTGTTGGGCCGATTTTGTCGGAGGAGTACCCTGGGTTGGATGGGGAGTTGAGGGGGTTCTATGAGCGGGGGAAGAAGAGGAGGGTGGTGTATGTTTGTTTTGGGACGCATATAACGCTGCCGACGGAGCAGGTTGTGATGTTTTTGGGGGCATTGGGGGATTTGTTGGCGGATGGATTGGTAGATGGGGTGATTTGGACGGTCGGAAAGAAACAGAGGCAGCAGTTTCAGCCGTTGCTGAATCAGTGGACTGGGGGAGTCAGGGAGCCAGTGGGGATGCTGCTGGAAAATCAGAGCGAGAGGTGGTATTTCACGCCCTTTGCGCCTCAGAGAGCAATATTGGATCATCCGGACACGATACTCTTTGTCACCCATGGTGGCGGGAGCAGTGTCAATGAGGCGATGTACCATGGAGTGCGTATGTTGTCTCTGGGATTCTTTTTCGACCAGCTTTTGAACGGTCTACGGATTGTCGAAGCAGGTGTCGGGTTGGGCCTCGATAAGGCCACATTCACAAGAGACGAGATCTACGACAAGGGCCGGCAGGTACTGCTTGATGAGGACGGCAGCTTTGCGAGAAATGTTGAGCGGATGAGGCACATTGCCCGAATATCAGCCCGGAAGAAACATTATGCCGCCGACCTGATCGAGGAGATGATGTACGATGCAAAGTTCGGACTGGATCCCAACAGTGGGAAGATGAGACCGATGCATCTTCAGACGGCAGACGTTAGAATGCCGATATGGAAAGCCAAGAACCTGGATCTGTTGCTCCTCGGAGGACTGGCGACTGCCGGGTTTGCCGGTGTAAGCTACTGGCTCTATTCTTGGATCAGTGATCAGTTGTGATCTGAACTTGTTGAAGTCTCGTTGGATATGCCAAGCATTGGCAGACATGTTGCTTGGCAACTACCCCCCTTTTTGCCCCTTTTTGTTCTTCACCAGTTGGGTTCAGTGCATACAAGCTTGTACCAGAAGAGCTACGTTTATGATAACAGCCGTTTGTTATAACGTATGATGCTCGTGCGAGACGTTCATGGGCGCCACAAGCTGGTGTATTGTCACCAGCATGTTCAGCTGATCTCACAATCCGAGTCAGGTTCAGGTTAGAACACTTCCTTGTGGTGAATGCAGGCTCTCCCAGCCGAGAACATCTTGATGCGCTGCGTCATAGGGCAGCGCTTGGACACCGAGGTTGTGGCTTTTTTTCCGCGGATCTCAGGGGTGCTTTCGTAGCATCAGTGGCATCATGATACGCGAGCTTCCCATTTCGGCTACGATTAACCCCTGCATCCCCGCGTTCACCACCAAAAGCTCCAACATCTGAAACGAAGATAGTCCCGGAATCGTGGACACGGGCAGAATGCCAAGTTTGACGATAATGTTCGCTCTTTTTATCCAGCTGCCCGTCCGTGCATGGGATGATCAAACGGGTTGAATCGTTGAACCTTTCTGGTTTTCTTCTCGACAACTGGTTGTCGTTTGGCTTTCACTTTTGGCACCAGCCCAAGATGTTTTTGTTGTGTTGAGCCCTGGCGTTGGCCTATTTTTCTTCATCTTATATTCTTGTAATTTTTGTTGTTTGGAAAATATTGAACGATGCTGGTCATCCGCATTTTTTGGCTTCTGGCCGCGCTGGCGATGGCCCAGTTGCCGACATTGGATGATTTGTTGGGAGGGGACAGTAATGGTGTTGAGGAACCGGCAGGGTCAGAGGAGGGAGGGCTTGTGCCTGGACTTCAGGATTTGATCGATGCGGTCCCGGTGCCGACGGTGGCGGATGATATCGTGGGCGCCCTTCCGGATCCGACAGAGATTTTGGACGGGGTTATCGGGGCACCAGGGACGACAACGCCGGATGAGGAGGCAGTTGCGACTCCAGAACCAACTCCTTCCCCAACGCCTGCGGAGGGAGAATCGCCCGCTGTGGAGGAGACACCCGTCGTTGAGGCTCCAACTCCCGAACCGACGCCTGAAGAATCGACTGCTCCAGTTGTACAGGTGCCTGTGCCCGTCGCGGAGATTCCAGCAGTCGAAGAACCAACACCTGCACCAGCTCCCGCTCCATCACCAGAGCCGAGCCCAGGACCGGCACCCGTACCAGCGCCGATTGTCATTGCCGACCCTCCCGCCGAGCAAGAAGACCCCGAACCTGTGCCCTCGCCAGCCCCAGCGCCCGATGCCCCTCCAGCTCCCTCCCCAGATGCCGACTCTGGCGCCGGCGGTGCAGTCCTCCTCCCGCTCCCCTCACTGCCAGCCGATACCACCCCTGCTCCTGCTTCAACCCCCGCCCCAACAACAACCGCCGAGCAACCCGCCAACACCTCCCCCTTCCTCAGCCTCGTCACACCTGCCAACGGCTCCCCCTTCATGTCGGTCTTCATCCCACCCCAACCGACCCAAGTAAACGCCGTAGTCGACGACGACACTACCGACAGCCCCTCTCCCCCAACAACCTCCGACACCACAAACCCCCTAACCAACACCAACGTTTCCCCCGACCTTCCCCTCGATAACACCCCCCTCCCCTCCACCAGCCCCACCCCATCTGAAAGCAGCGGGATCCCCCTCTCCACCAAAATCGGCGTTGCAGCCGGTCTGGGAGGCGGCTCGTTGGTCCTGCTCATCGTCATCCTTTACATCATGTGGCACAAGCGGATGGAGAACAACCCGTTCAGGAGACATACACGGTCTGGTAGTGCTGCCAGTGGTGGTAGTAGCAAGCGGGATTTGGAGAGTGCGGCGGGGTTGCCGGTGCAGGAGAGGCAGAAGCTGGATTGGGAGAGTGGGCATGATGTTGCTTTTGATTTTGGGTTTGGAAAGCCGACGGTGGAGATCAAGGGCGGGAATAACTGGAAGGAGACCAAGGAGGAGGATAGATTGCCTGCGGAGATGGAGGCTAGGATGGGGGTTGGGGAGGATGGGAGTGCGCAGTTTAGGAGGTGAGTTCTTGGTGGAGGTGGATGTAGGAAGAAGGTGAGGGGGGAGGGTTGGGAATCAAAATGGCTCGGATTGTAGAGATGACGGCGTGATGTCTTGTTGGGGGGTTGCGCTTGGGATGTATCGCTGTTGGTTTTGTTCACGGCCATGCCAGGTGATTTCTGTGCACATTTTGATTTCTTCTGTTATTACTTTAGCAACAAATACATCTTGCCTTTGCATAAAATGTTCCATTATTAATAGACATACACCCTCTTCTGCCTCTCCGCCTCGACATACTCCCTCAGCACGTCCAGAATCTCCAAGACAGTGTCATACTCCCCCTCCTCCCACTTGTTGATGTGCAACCACCGCCTATCCGCCCAAGATTCCACCACCCTCGCCGCCTCGACTAGCATTGCCTCCCTCTTCCTCCTCAGTTTATCCTTTTTATCCTCGGTGATATACCTCGCATCTTGCAACCCAAACAGTTCAACATCAATCTCGTACATCTTTTGCACCAACTTTGTCAACTCCTCCACATCCTCCCCCGTGACTGGCTTCTCCCGCTTATTGTGAGAGTCAGCGGAGTGGCTGAAGATATTGTCCGCCAATTGGTGCTCATCCCCGCTGACATCATAATAATACTTTAGAAACCCAGCGTGGAATGTTTCAGGGGAGACGAAATCCACTACTGCGGTGTGGGCGCCGAGTTCGACGTCATTGTTTACGTCTTTTGAGCCTGGTGGTGATACTCGTGGGATGAGAAGAGTGCCGTTGTGGTACCACGTCCATGCTGCCCAGGCTGCCACCCAGATGCCGGCTAACGTGCAGATGAGACCGTAGATTAGTTGGTCTAATTGCTGAGGGTTGTTTTCTAAGCGGGAGGAGTCTGGGTCGGGGAGGGTGATGACCAGGCTGTTGGTTGGGATGGTGTCAAATGAGGAGAAGTTGTGAGGGACGGCGAGGAGGTTTGGTGGGAAGTAGGAGAGGCCGAGCTTGGCGGTGGAGTGGTTCATTAGACGGAGCCATGTTTCTGGGCTGGTGATGGGTAATAATGGCAAGGTGTTGCTGTCGTTATTGTTGGTGATGGGGAAGTCTTTCCAGAATTCCATGCCGGTTAACATTGTCGCGGTGCATGGTTTTTGGTTGGTGCCATGACGCGATGATAATTTGAGGTTGGAAATGATGGAGGTGGGAAGTCAGGTAACAGTCTTTGTCGTGCAATCTTGGGGTATCTCGCGTTTAGGGGTTCAGCCCCAGGAAGGTACCGGTACTTGTGCTATGTTGCCCAGAATTGATAGTCTGCCTTGGGATGAATTGTGGCGGTTACGCTGCAGACTTTTGGGGGCCAAACTAAGCCATCGTGGGGTGTGACAGGTGGTGACAGTGCAGAGTGCAGGTGGTCCAGGCAAATCTTGGCCAATACCGTTTGATTTGGTGTCCAATGGTGGTTCAGCTCATCAAGCCCCCTTTGCGGCGCAGGTCAGAGCCTTGCCAGTGTCCCGGACAGGGGTTAATTGTTGTTCTGACTTCCTTGTCTGCAATAGGGGTCTTCAATGAGGCCGGGTCTCACAGGATAGTTGATAGCCACTGATATACGGGATTTTTGATATAGCAGGAGAATACCTGTTGCTACCTTCATGAGCTCGCCGTTATAAGGTGGTTAGGTAGGTACTTACAGTGATGCTTGACAGGATGGGACATAACCATTGAGATCATTAACATGTTTCAATCTTGATATTGATTACTAGATATACCTGTGCTCTAGAACCCCAGACTAGCTGATCCTCCAATAACCTTGAGCTGCAAAAAAAAAAAAAAGCCACTAAACATGAAACCAAAAACTCAAAACCGCAATTCCACAACATCATAAACCACCAAAATCCATCACAAATCCACTCATATCCCGCAACACCGACAAACGTGCCCCCTCCAGTCCCAAAACCAGCTGGGTGGTTTCCATGTTATCTTCCCCGTGTCATCAGCGGCCCCGTATTTGCCGTTTCGCCTTCCTCATTTCTCTACATCCGCCCTATTTCCCTTGTTTTTAGCTTGGCGAACGATGTATGCCTACCCTGCTGATCACTTCCGTTAAAGTACTCCAGGTTGCCGTCTTGCTGAGCCTACCTGCGCCCCTGGGCATTTGCATTTTTTTGCTTTGCCTTCTTCGCTGATTCTTTAGATTCGAGTTTTTTCTTTCGCTTCAGTCTCTCTGGGCTGGCTGAGCTGGGGTTGTTGTCGAATGCGAGGGCTCCGTTGAATATGTGGCCTGTTGAGAGGGATTCCGAGCTGGAATTTGTTGCCGAATATGAATACGGCGCCTGTTGAGATGGATGCTGAAATGGGGTTGTTTCCGAATATGAAGGGCTGTGTTGGATAAGGTAGGTATGTTTTTGCGTTCAGTGCTAGTGTATTGGGGCCAGGGACTTACTCTACAAGTCACGCATATGTAATACACATCTGGTACGGGAGCTTTGCACTGGCACTGCTGAGACTCCATTTCAAGGAAACGCCGGGTAAGTAGATGTTATCTTATATAACCGAGGTATAAAGAGTCATGCGGTGTAAGTAGATGGTGTAAGGTAAGGAATGCGCTTGTTGTCTGGTTGTGGAACATCGAGGGTTGCTCACATCGACATCGACTACCCCAGCAGTTAAAGCAAGCTGGAATTGATATATTTATACAGAAACAGCCTCGACGGTAACTACTCGACACCTGGTGATCTTTGAGTCTGCAGAGATGTGTAATAGTTGATGATATTCTTAGATACTTTTACAAGCAGCTCCGGAGAGCAAAAACCTTTCCTTATCCTACACCAATAAGTGGGCCTAAGGGCCGAAGCCCTGGAGCAGCCTGCTTGACCAATCCGCCGCGAGTAATACCTCCCACACCACGTAACCTTGTGAGGCAATTCCTTAGGACGATGTCTTAGAAAAATTCAATCAAAGATGTGGTTGCCATGTATATCATCAGCAGGCCTTGTTTGTCGCCCAGTGACATATCCGTAGTTTCCGAAATAATCCGAGGAAAGTCAATTGATGGTCATTGTTGAATAGAACGGCGGAGTAGTGCCTAAGCACGGTCAATGCGGCCCTCCATATGATATAGGAGGCACTTGAGGCAATGAAGACGTCCACGTCTTTTTTCTGGGGTGTACCGGCAGTCGCTTTACAGGATGGGGAAAACCATGTTGCCAAATCTTAAGTCAGAGCCTGACAGTGAAGTAACTTCATGTCACAACTAGTCTTTAGGTGGCACGTGGTTCAAGGAAAGCAAAACGACTGAAAGAATTGGCGCAATGCTGGATTTCCCTCAGTCTGCCTCTCGTCAGGCGTACAGTGTGGTGTAAACGAAGATGTCGATACATACCTGAGTTTCTGAAGTGAACTGAAAAAGGCCACTTCATCATTACCTAGACAAGCAGAAGAGGTGAATGTTCCGAGTCTGCCTATGACCCAGTTGTCTGCTGTATGGTTCTGGGACTCCCCCAGCTTGTCATTCCAAGTAAGTGCCGCCCAACTTGACACTTTCGTCACACACGCACCGTACCTATGCTAACCTTTCTTGATTCGATTTAGTCTTTCCAAAACCCATAACGCAGATTGAGACTGATCCACGCTTCACAATGGGCCAGCACCCGTACAAGCCACACATTACCGGCAATGCGGAATACGCAGCTGAAAGATAAAACGGAAAGCCAGAAGCTAATTCAAAGAATTTTAGAAGCCACCAATTCCCCATGATCTTTTGGATAGTATTATTTTGTCGTAATAACTACGAATCCATTCCTTAAAAAATGAAAAATGACTAGTTTAAACACTCCCGTGTCTGGTCAGTCCAGCTGTTGTTTTTACACTCCATGTCTGCAACCCCACCCTTTGTCTCTCAGCTTCCCCTTTACTGCAATTCCGGCCCATCGCTCTTATATCGGCTAATCAGTCGTATGTATCTCCCGAGGAAATTTACTTAAGTATTTCAGGTTGCCGCCGTGTTGAGCTCAGTAGTTTAGGGCATTTCTAATTCGTCTTTTTCGTTTCCTGCCTTCAGCCTCTCGCATTACTCAATTGAACTCTTCTCGGTTTTTTGCCTTCTCTTCTTCTTTCTTGGCTTGGGCCACCTCCATGTCCCTCCTTTTCTGCATATCCCTAGCTTCATCCCACTGTCTCTTCTCTTCGGGAGTTGGAGCCTCGTATTCAGCCTCCTTGAGCTCGTTTCACGGCACAATCATATGACAGGAGTCAGGTAGGTGTACATATCCATATACCTTTGTAAAGCAAGGGTGTAAAGGGTGATACTTAACCACGCCGCCAACATTGGCTGCTGCGCACGCGCTACAGGACGACCCCGGACGGTTCGTCTTCACTTCACACCTTTCGGCAGAACAATAGTTCTTGTTCTCGTCCTTCAGACAAATATACACCAAACCCGCTTCTTCTCGCTTTTTCCGTCGGTTCGCATCTCTTATTCCATTTTGCTTAGCCGTGTTTCCTTTCCTTTCTCGGCGACGGCTTGGCCTGTAAACGCCGTATGAGCTGCGCAGGTGGTGGGGCCCAGTACGTGTTCGTTGTGCGCACTGATTGAGATGTTGGGTGCGGAGCTTGAAGTGGCGACCCCTGCCCGTGTCTAGCTTCATGATCATATCCATAGGGAGCTGGGGCGAGCGCCTGTAGCGGGTTTTGTGGTGGTGGTTGCGAATATGTAGATAGTCGGTAACTGTTTGAGGGGGGATACTGGGGGGTTGGGGTCCCGTACCCTTGGTAGGAGGAAGCCGAAGACCAGGTTGGACTTGCTGGTGGCGGTAGGGTTTGAACAGCTCTGTTTGTGTCTTTTCGCAGCTCATTCTAGACTCGAGTAAGATGGGTGTTTACACCGAGGGCTAATGTACCGAAGCCTTACACCGCAACGGACACATTTGCCGCTCGGGAGCAGTATGGAAAGTCTGCATTAACATGGCATTGCAAAGGCAGTCAACCGTGATAGGAAATTTAAGGCGGTTTAAATAGTTAAGGGGGGTAATTTGTTGCTGCCTTGTTTTATAGAGTCGATTGTTCGAAATGTTATTATCAAATACCACAACGACAGAGGTAGAAAAGCCGGGTATTTATGCAGAAGAGATATTAATGATAGCTCCTCGACGTCTTGCGGCTTTTGCCCACCAGACACAGACTTGTGAGGGTTTTTTCACCTCGGACGACGTTCAGGAAAGGCAATGATAGCGTGTTGCTAAAAATTGATCGTCGGCAGGCCTAGTTGAACACACTGTAACAATTCGACTCTTTCAACAGGTGATGGGAAGAAAGTTAACTGAAAGATGTTCCCCTTGTGACAAAGAGGCCGGACTCCTGAACAGTTTATCTAGTGCCGTATGTGACATAAGGGATACTCGGGATGACAGAGTTCAAAGTCTAGGTGGTTTGTGAAAGGGATGTAGGTATATGGTACCCTGAGAGTCAACTCTTTCACACGTAAACCCTCCTGCTCCTACTGCTCTCTGCAGTGTCGTAGATGGGCCTACGTCCCTGCCCAGGCTGCCTGGAGCTTGTCGACTCCTGATTCGGGTCCGATCCCGCTCCTGATGCTGAATCATTATCTGGTACGACGGGCAGGTGCTGCTCTCTCTGGCTACCAGCGTTTCCCAAAATGAACTGCCCATTACGATCTGTGGCGGCCTCCGCGATGGAGATTCTTCCCGGTTGGCCAGCATACAGTTGAAAAGCCGCAACTTCCTCGCGGACTGTAACGACCAACTCCAATTCCACTTGCCGATATTGTGTTTTGGTGTCTTCGTCGGTGTTCCGGCGGATGACTTTGGCTTTATCGGCAGTGGAAAGGGTGGCCAAGTCGTAGTTGAGTTGGACCTTCTGAAGGTTTTGGATGTCTAGGTACGGGCGTCAGTACGTGCCGAGATGAACAACACTGAGCATTTGCTTACCCTCAAGCTTGTCGCCCTGCTTGGAATCATGGGAGATGACGACGGTGCAAGAACCTTTCAGCACCTGGTCATTCAGCTTAAGAATCTTCCTCACAAGCTTCACACTTTTGCTGATGCCATCCGGCTGTGTAATCATATCTCCCTTTGCAGCAATCCACTTGAGGTGGTCTTTGGCGCGCATGCTTTGGCCAATGGCATCCGTGTAGGCCTGCTTCTCGTCGTTCTCGTACTCGTGAAACTGTTGGGAAATAAGGACTCCTATGTGGTATGGGCATTCGGCACACGCGGGTGGGACTTCGCAGTTCATCCCGAGCCCCAGGATTGCTGCGCCGATGACAACGTCTGTCCAACTGCTTTTGTCGCTGAAGTGCTGTTAGCCAGAGACACCGAGATCTACGGGAGACGGTCAAGACCTACCCCTCTTGCCCTCGGAACACTGGTAATCGGTACTGGTGCCCAATCTCCAACTCAACCTTTTTGAAAAGATATTCACTTCTTGAAAGACCCCCAGACAGAAATACGGCTGATACACGAAGGTTCTTGACTTCGAGCTGCGTGATCTGCTGTCTGATGAGGTTCACGGTGCCGTCGACGGTTTCTTGGAACATGTGCTCCATGTCCTCACTATCTTCCTATTAATATTTTGACCTTGTCATGATGGATGTTGGGAGACCATACGGCAAAATCTGCAGATTTCCATTCGAGATCCCTCTCTCAGGATTGTCCGGTATGTCAAGGTCGCCAGGAAGTAACACTCGGAACTCCTCATCCTCAGTACCAACACCTGCAAACTTGTGTTTGGCAAACTGGAAGCTCTCGAGCATTGCTTGTTGCCGTCTTGAAAAGAGCACATGTGGTCCGCTGCCAAAGCTGGACTCAGCATCTTCAACTACTTTGCGGTAGTCATCCGGGGTAAGGCGGCGGGGCAGAAAGCGTTTAATGAAATAGTCATCTATCCGTGTCGCACCGCAACGTCCGCCTGTCTCATCGTTAGCATCAGAACATTTGCAGCAAAAGAGAAAGCTTACTGGACATCTCAGTCACCAAACTGACTTGGAAAGAGGGCGTGTCTTGGTCCACGCGGTAGGATACAAGGTCAACTGTCCCGCCTCCGGCATCAACAACCACGAAGCATGCTCCCTGTGGGATGACGCGTCAGTATTGGCTTTTGGCAAAACAGAAAACACGGGTGTTCATACCCGTCTGAGATGACGTTTATGCGCGCTTGTAGATGTCTTCATGATGTACTGGGCACATGCTTCCGATTCCGTGGTAAGTCTGACCTTCCCCGGGTTTGATTCGAATTCAGGAAAGATTCTCTTGAAGGCAGTGTTCACCGCTCTGAAGGTGGTGTTCATTGCGCGCGGGTGCCATATCTGGTTGTCTTGTCAGCTTATCACAATTTGACGCAAATGCCCGCCAGCATCTCTTACTGCTGGGTGCGTAATGATGATCTCGATGGGAAAGTCGCCAATGACCCTTCGATCTCTCTGAACAGTCTCGATATCCTGACGAACGCACTGAGCAACTTCAGTCAGATAGTCGGCAACCACGTCTTCGGTCGACTTGATCAAATGGAGCGGGATCCCCTGCACAAGCGAGGACGCATGCTGTCTGTGTGACACGGGGCCACGCGTCGCCTCCAGGGTTCTCTTGAGCCGGGACAGTGCTTCGAGACGAGTGGGTGGCTCCATCTCCAACTTGGTCCATTGTAGAATGTGAGAATCAGCATCTCCAATTACCCCGTAACCCCACCGCCGGCCGGATGTTCCTGAATAACTGATGATGGAAGGAACTTTGGGGCCGATGACCTGGGATGTCTCCGGGCGATGAATAGCGCCCCATCTTTTCACAATGTTGAGCTCATTGAGCTGAGAAGGGCGGGTCCTGTGGGTGAGAATCCATCCCACTCCTAAAAGGGGTCAGTTTCCGAAGTTCATACGGATATGCCCCGCAGTGCGGACCAAGAAGGCTGACCGGTGTAGGTGGTGCCATAGTCGACACAGATCAAGAACCTCTGACCACTTGTTGAAGACATGATCGAGGGCCTCTTGGCGTAAAGAGGTGCTGCCCAGTGTAGGGCGGGATGATGAATGTGCAAAGAAACTTCGGCTCTTGTGTGCGACTGTCACTCAGGCAGCATGCCAGCTGAGGTTTGACATGGTATTCGAGCCCCCAAATGGTCAGGTGGTAGGCAGTGCCAGTGGCTTGCATGGCGGCAGCCTACTTGCCAGCGCTAATTCTAATTCGACTGGGAGTGCGCCTTTCCAGTTCATTGGCGACAAGCGACTGTCCCCCGCGCGTAGCTGAGCCTGATCAATCAGTCTGAACATTGCACAACTGTTTCGAGAACAATTTGGATTTGCTGGGTTCTCTGTGTGGTGTTGTCAAACCGATCATGGAACTTGCCGACTTGCACTTACACACATGAAATGGGTCCACCCAACACCAACCCAGGTCTATCAGGATTGGGGGGTTTCTTGCACTGGCCGAAACAAAACGACTTCCATTTCCTTGTGATATCACAAATATCGCAGTTTCCACTTCAGGACACCAACGCCGTGCGGGGTGTTGCCCTGCAGTTCACTGTCGAGCGGCATTCCTAGGTGTATCTTGCCCGCAAAAGCCCTCCATGGCAGTGAGATCTCATCTTCAACTACCAGAAAATAAGCTTTTCGGGGATCTAGAACTCAGCGAGAAGCTCCTCACGTACTGATAAGAACGAATAACATGCTGCTTATTCCTGCGCACGTTCAACGGCCCCCCACCTCCGGTGTCACCAGAAGCGGGCCTCGCCGCGAATTCGACAAGAGGGCCGCCGCTCAACATGCTGAAGCCGGCAGGAGTTTCCAAGCCGCCGTCGTCCTGCTAGAATCTTTACCACCGGCTTGTGGGATCGCGCGGCGCCGGAATACAACCTTCCGTTTCGACCAGTTACTGTCACCACCCTGGCTCCCATCTTCCAAGCTTGTTCTTTTACCCGGTTCGAAAAATGGCAGTTGAGCTCGGGATGTGGGAGGTTCTATGCAAGCCGATGCCCCGCGTTGCTCCACTGGATTGCGCGTCCACTTTACTGTGTAGAACCCCTGAATCCACCACATACCAAGACATTTTGATTGAGGATGCTCTATACACCTTGAGGGCCCGGCAATGCTTGGTTACCCTTCGCATCTGATAGGTCGAAGATGGCTTCACCATACCAGAAACTGCTGCGTCATTGCAGTCGGTTGCTCGGTTAGCGGCTATATGCCCCTTTCGCTTCAACTTCATGCGACTTGGCTTCCAGTTCGGGCAGGGAAGTGTCGCGTAGATTATGTAGCAAGATAGACGATATGCGTGGCGGGAAGGCTAACGGCAAGGAGGACGGGTATGAGTTGAACATGTATAAGTATATCAGCCAAGAGAAGCCTTCTTGCTCTTGTTCCGCTCATCTCAGACTCAGAGATCAACTTACTTTGGGTTTGTCCACTCATCTATCTCAACCATGCATTTCACCAAAGCCGCCGCCACTGGCCTTGCTGTCCTGGTAGGATTAGCCAGCGCCCATCCAGGCCACGATGTCGCCCAGGAGGCTGCCGAACGACGGGAGTTCCTCGCCAACGCTAAGCGGACTGATCTGAGCCACTGTGCTGAGAAGCTCCGCGCCCGCGGCATCGAGGCCAAGAACATCGCCAGACGTAAGGCTCAGGTCGAAGAGGCTCGTCGCAAGAGAAACATCAAGAAGCGTGATATCGGCGATGTCTTGGCCAAGAGCCACAACAAGACCTCCCTTGGCTACACCCCCAACACCGATAGCGCAACCCTCTTTGCGGGCATCAACTCCTGCATTCTGAGCCCCGAGGTCACCCAGGGCCCATACTGTGAGTGATGGTGACTATCCGTGATGAAAGAGTCATCTCAGCTGACATGAACAACAATAGATGTTGCCGGCGAATACGTGCGTGAAAACCTCATTGAGGACCAGGAAGGCGTTGAGCTCCTTGTTGACTACCAAGTCATCGACGTCGACACATGCGACCCTGTTCCCAATGTTTACCTCGAGGCGTGGGCTTGCAACGCCACTGGTGTGTATGGCGGTGTCATCGCCGGCGGCAACGGCGACACCGCTGATGCCTCCAACATCCACAACACCTGGCTTCGTGGCATCCAGCCCACCGATGAGGATGGAGTTGCCCGTTTCCAGACCATCTTCCCCGGCCACTACACCGGACGTACTGCCCATATCCACATCATGGTTCACACCAACGCCACCCTCCAGCCCAACCAGACCCTAGGTCATGACAACTATGCTAGCCACATTGGCCAGGCTTACTTCGACCAGGATCTCATTACCGCTGTTGAGCAGACGGCCCCGTACAACACCAACCGTCAGCCCTTGACCACCAATGCTCAGGACTTCCTTCTCGCCCAGGGCTCGGCTGGCGCAGTTGACCCGGTGATGGAGTACACTCTTCTTGGCGACTCGGTCGAGGATGGTCTCTTCGCTTGGCTGTCGTTCGGTATCGACACCTCTGTCAGCAACAAGATTAATCCTGCTGTCTACCTTGGAGAGGAAGGTGGCGTTGCCAACCCCAACCCTGGTTTCGGTGGTCCTGGCGGTCCCGGTGGTCCTCCAGGTGGCTGGACTCCTCCTCCTGGATGGACTCCCCCTCCCGGATTCCCCCTTGAGGAGAACGAGGAAGTTGAGGCTTAGTGAACCATAGGCACTGGGACGAGTTGGGGATGTACTCAACTGGGATTATCGCGGTTAGCAAGAAGCCTTCATGGGTGGATAGTTTGGATCGTGTACATAGCTTGCAGGTTGGAGGGGAAATCAAACGGAAATGTAGCAAAAGAGAAGAATGCGATTTGAAAATTATGTATTCGGGAAAACTGAACGTCTTGCTCGAGATGCAATGTGCACCTGAGTTGAATGATCACGGGATGGCGGGAGGATTTTACTGGGCAGCAAAACCCCCGCCAAAACCAGGTAGGTAGCGCTTGCAGGTGCCGCTCATGTTGCGCAGCATGGGGGGCGCCTCTCTGCACTCCACCAACGTGACCTTCCAGACAGCGCTTCCGCCTTCCACTGTTAGCTGAGGTGCCCCAGACAACTACAAAGCAAATGCAACAACCTGGAATCACCTCTCCAAAACATCAAAATGTGCTTTGGGACTCGAGAAAAAAACCATTCGGAGGGACCTCGACGACACCATGGTCCCACATACCAAGAATCATTTCCCCAATCTCAGCCGCCGCCTCAGGGTTATTTTGCGCCCGGGGATCCTAGCCATGATCGTGCTCGTCAGATACCTGTCGATGACACCAAGGAAAAGATCTCCAGGTTCATGACAAAACACAACATACCCCAGCAGGAAGGTCTCGACAATCTCACAAATGTTCTCCAATGGGTCAACAACACTCTGCTCGTCAAGGACAACGAGATCGCAATCATTAAGCGGTCCGCCCGTGAAGATGTGGACCGCATTACAAGGGAACGGTACACAGTATCACAGGAGCGAGATCGCTACAGAGCACTCTACGAGCGGGATAACGCTGCTCTGGCAGAGTGCGAGGAGGCTCTGTATCAGGCCAAGACCGAGAACCAGCGCCTTCACCAAACAATCGCCGACATGAAATGGACGCACAATGACACATTGGCCAAGAACGAAAAGAGGTACCAAACAAGTATGGAAGAGCAGGATACGAAACATGAGGATGCTGTCAAGAAATTGCGGATAGAGATTGATGATCTGAAGGAGAGAATCGGCGAATACACCTCACAGGATGACGCCGTCATTTCTGATGAAGCTTTCCGGACCTCATTGCTGTCGTTGTCGCAACAGCTGTTGAAGATTGTGGACCACATTCCCAAGCCGATGCAACAGCAACAAGACACAAGGGGATGGTCCAGATTTATTCGGAGCGTGTGCTGGACTCACTTGTTGCACGGGTTCTATCAGTATCCATTGGGATTTGGCATCTTTGGCGTTGAAGGAGAAGCGCATGCTATCCTTGCACACTTTTCTGAGGCGATCAGAGTACAGGCTGCTGATGGTGGGTTCTATGGTGGCCGATATCAGTATGGAATGAAGCTGATGAATTTACAGACCCTGATGATTCTATTTTAACAAACCAACAAAAGGCCAAAATGAATGAGGGACGAGGATTCCTGTTTGAACGCATTCTGGAAGACTTCCGCGGGAACAACAGCACCGATGAGAAGGCATTCACAACATATTTTCGACAAAACATAGAGCGAGTCACCGAGGACCTGGTGCGGGCTCTTCAGCAATGGAGTGGCCAAGCATTGGATTCACAAGTCAACAAACGTATCTGGACCGTGGTACGTGATGCAGGCGTGTTAGCACTTCAAATGGGGTCACAGCGGTCCCGTGTAATGCTGGTGGCATGTTCACGTGGTGACATCGTTCAGCTGAAGCACATCTTTGAAGACGAGACAGGTCACTCCGAGGAAGTCAAGGTCATTGTAGACATGATGACGCAGCCAGGTTTGATGAGGATTGGTAACGGGAAGGAAGACTTGACTCGTGAGCAGGTCATCTCGAAGGGGAAGGTTATTCCATTGAAGACCCGTGATTGAGCAGTTACATGAGAAACATTGAGCACGCCCCTCAATTGCGCTAGCCCCAGATTATTGAGACTCATTTCTGAAGTTTTTCGGCGCCTTGGCCGTGTTTCGCCAGGATCAGGTTTTCGCGCCCATGATCCCAGCGGCTGAAAACTATCTCCGTGTGGCTGCGTTGCTGGCGCCCGCCAGTGCCTGCAAGGCGCTCTTTCTGGTCAAGGGGGCCATCTTACATTGCACAAGGCTCTGTCTGGTCTTGGCTTGTACCAGTACATCAAAGACAGCAATATTCAGGGGCCGAGGTATATTGGGGGGGGTTTGCACAGCAAAACCTGACGTGGGGTTGACTCAGACTTGTGTCACCAAAGGTCCTCGTTCTTCGCGTGGTGCTGGGATGCCTTTGGCTTCAAAACACCACAAATCATACCATTTACCACGTTTCGACACAACCACGGGATGTCACAACCATTGCAAAATGTCACACTTTCCTCAATATCACCACAGCCGCTCCCGGCAGGACTTCCACTACATGTCGCCGTTTTCGACACTGTCTGGTTCTTGGCCAGTGTGACCTTCACGTGGTTGCTCTATCGTTTGCTTCCCACATTTCAACTGCCTCATCTCGGGAAAAGAGAATGGAAACCTGCCTGGCCCGAGTTCAAGCCTGTTGCGCTTGGGGCAATGCTATTAACACTGTAAGTTGAACCGCGCCGACATGAGTCATTATGTTGGCTGACTGTTGCTGTGAAGGTGGTATTTCTTGACCATGATCGATCGCTGGATGCGCCAGAGCGGGAACAGCCAAGTCAAGTATGAGTATGTCACTGCTCGCCCCATCTATGACGTGTTGCATGTTACGTCGACTTTGCTGCTCGTGTGGGGTACATACAATGTGTTGTGGAAACGTTTTGGGGACAGGAAGCCTGACTCGTCAAGGCAAAGAGTCTGGTGGTTTGTTTCAAAGAGTGTTTTCTTTGTAATCAGCCTGGTGTCCGTCTTGTACCTTGTGTTTTATTTCGCATTTTCTTTGGTCTGGGTGAAGTATGAAAGCTTGGTACCGGTGGTGCATTTTGCGGCAAGAGGGTCTTCATTTGAGATTGCAACCGTTGTTCTTGTATGGGTTGCGAGCATGGCCATGTTGGGGGTTTATCGGTTCTTTGGTTCGTGGGGGCATGAGAAACACTCTGCTGTATGTCATCCCAATTCCAATTGAAGGCATTTGCTAACATTATCCTACAGGAAAGGTGGTATTTGTGGGGGGCACTCGCCATGTTCTTTGCCCGGTCCCTGGCTGAGGTGGCAGTGGTGCTGAAAGCACAGACCGAGAAACCACCCCAGCTGTGTCTCGAGAATCACATTGGCTCAGGGGACACTGTCTGCGTTCCTTCTTTTGGTACTCCGCAATACATCCCACCCTCGACTGCAGAGAGCAACATGGCCGCCATTGACATTCCATACGGCCTGTTCAGCATTTTGTTTCTCGTCGCGATGTGGCTCGCTGCGCGGGAGACAACTGGTGGCTATGACCAAGAGGGGAATCAGCAGCAATTGGTAATGTCAGACATTAGATCTGCCGTCTTGCAAAAGCTTCAAGAGCGGACAAACCAGAGAAGAAAGAAATCCCCACCATTTCGGGAGATCATGGATGAGATCGAAGAAGACCTCGACAAGTCTCTGGAGTCCGGCCCGCTGGCAAGGTCTTTGGCCACGGTTAGCCCACAGTACAAACGACAAGCGGCCCTTGCTTGCATACAAGAGCTACGAGACAAGTATGAGGGTGCCAAGCCCCGTTACGGAACCGAAGACCCTCCCGGTTACCATCTCGCGTATAACCCACAGCTACCGAGTCTTGGTCCGAGCTCCGCCACCTTGACTCCCGGCGCCGGCGGACTCGGATCCGTTCGTGGACATGACGACGAGGTGTCTGTTCATGGTTCCTCTCTCTGGGCAGAGGCATCAATCAGGACACCCCCGGAAACACAACGACCCCGCTACCATCCTGCTCCCTCGTCATATTCGGTACAAGAGCTAGAGGTACCCAACCAGCCTCTCTCCCACCAATCCTCCCAAATCGATATGGTTCCCGCCGAGACAACACCGTATTACACATCCCCGCCTATGCCGGCACAAGCTCAGCAACGTCCCCTGGTGCGAGCAGCATCAATGGGCAGACTTGATCCTATCCCACCACCGGGCTTTACCTCGCCGGAGTTGTGGAGTCATGGAGCAGGATATGATGCTTACAACCCTGTACATTCCATGTCTCAGGACGCGATCCCGCCTGTTCCTGTGGTTCCAGGTCAGTTTCCTGCTGCGAACGTACCTGGTATACCGCTTGCGGCTGCCTCTCAAGGGTATAGAGCGGCTGCTATGCCACGACCGGCGGCGCTGAGATCTCAAGCTGCAAGGGGAGTTGCACCTGGGCCCTCGATGGTGCAGCAAATGTCGAGACCGATGGATATGGGTGGGGGGAGATCGGTGAGTGATCCGGTTGTGTTGACGCCGTTTTTGGCGAGGGCGGAGGTTGCGGGTGTGTCTGGGGGGCCACCACCGGTTGCGGATGGGAGAGGAGGTGGGAATGCGATGGGGACTAGTTGGATGCGGGATGAGGAGCGAGCTAGAGGTAGAGTGGATGATGATGGGTTGGGGAGGTATTATTCAGCTAGTGGGGGTAGACAGTGATATGGTGTGTTGGTGGTGCACCATGGAGCGGATCCAGCTGGGGCAAACTAATGCTTTTCCCCTTACTGCAAATCGAGGCTTTTCATCATCTTCTAAATCTGGACTTTGCCCTTCTTTCATGGACCTCATCTTTGGATTTGTCATACACAGAAGTTGGCAGCTCGCGAACCACGGCGGTGTAACCCAATACCTTGGTATTGGAAGACTTCCGGTGGTAGGATACGCCTTTCCCAAACCAGCCAATGCTCGTTGTAGCCGAGGCTAGTGTAAACCCTGGGGACGGCCCGTAGAGCACCGTGCCGCTCAATGCTCAGGGGTGTACACCACCAAGTGGCCAAGCCTTTCCCCATGTAGACAATGCTCAAAGTATCAATGTGTGATGAATAGTGACAGCCAAAGGCCTAGAATTCGATGTTGACGACGACGATGTCTGGAGCATGGTGCCCCAGGCAAAATAGGAACGGGAGTCAGTTTATCAATTCTTCATAAATACAACGGGATCCTCAGTCGTTTACAATGATTCTCCCTCACCTGCACTCATCCCCCTTCCTCACCTTTATTCGGCGTCTCGTTCGGCCTGGGTGCTGCTATCTAGTACACCATGGTCCAAGCCTCTTTTCTGGCGACAGCCATCGCCGTTATTATTTCCGGATGCACTGTGTCTGCTCGAGGTGTAATGGTTCCCAGGGCCTACTGCACCAACGGCAAGCAAGTGGTTGAGGGAAACACCTGTGAGATCATTGCGGACCGTCGTTGCACCATCAGTGTTGCAAGGCTCCAGCAACTAAATCCACAACTCGACTGCTCCAACCTGCGCGTCGGCCAGCATTTCTGCTGCAACGAGGGCGCAGTTAGGAGAGACCCGGAATGCACCAACTACAAGACCGTCGTCGCCGGAAACACTTGCGCCAGCATCGCCGACAAACGCTGTACCATATCGGAGTCCAGGTTCCGTCAACTGAATCCGCACCTCGACTGTTCCAACCTGCAGGTCGGAACCGGCTTTTGTTGCAGCGAGGGTTCCTTGCCGTTGCCTGACTGCACCAATGTCAAGACGGTTGTCGAGGGCAATACTTGTGCCATTATTGCTGATCGTCGCTGTACGATCAGCCTTGGAAACTTTGTGAACTACAACCCTGTGAGTTACTTTTCCCTTCATGTACAGTCTCGTGTAGCAGAAACTGACCTGTGTGTGATCAGCATATCGACTGCTCGAGGCTTGAGGTGGGCGAAAAGGTCTGCTGCATGGAGGGGAAGCTCCCTGAAGGCCCCTCCCCCAACGCCGATGGCACTTGTCAAGACAGGCAGGTTGTGGGTGAGTGAAAATGTTCTTTGTGTGTTGTTAGCCATTGCTAATAAGACGGTCAGCGGGCGACTCCTGTTCAACGCTCTATCAAAAGTGCAACATCACCCCTTCGCTTCTGACCCAGTATAACCCAGCAACCAACTTCTGTTCCAATCTCAAAGTCAACCAGTGGATTTGCTGCTCATCTGGCACTCTCAAGGACAGGCGGCCCAAGCCGAATGCTGATGGGTCGTGTGCCACGTACACAGTCAAAGCAGGCGACTCATGCAGCGTGATCGAGGCTGCCAATGGGCTAGTTGATGGCGATCTAGACACGTTCAACAAGAGGAAGACTTGGGGGTGGGCTGGGTGCAGCAAGCTTTGGCCCGACTCCAAGATCTGCCTCAGCTCAGGGACCCCGCCAATGCCCCTTCCCATCGCCAATGCGGTATGTGGGCCACAGAAACCTGGGACAGTCGCTCCTCCCGCAGGCACCAACATCAGCACCCTCAATCCGTGTCCGCTCAACACGTGCTGCAACATCTGGGGTCAGTGTGGCACCACCAAGGACTTCTGCGAAGTGACGGGCGATGGGACTCCGGGAACGGGAACATGCATCAGCAACTGTGGCATGACCATTGTCAACAACAATGCGCCGCCGGCAGAGTACAAGAAGATTGGCTACTTCGAGGCCTGGAGCACCGACCGCGACTGCTTGTGGATGGACGCTACCTCTATTGACGAGACTCAGTTCACACACATCCATTTTGCCTTTGCCGACGTCACACCTGACTTTCGAGTTGATGTCAGCAAGGTCCAGGCTCAGTTCAACAAGTTCAAGGCACTCAAGAGGTCCAAGAGGATTATCGCGTTTGGTGGTTGGGCTGCGTCGACGAGCCCCACCACATTCCAGATCTTCCGTGCTGGTGGTGAGTAGCATCCTGACGCCTTGCTTGTATCCCATCCGACACACATAACTGACTCGGTTCTACCTAGTGAACTCCGCCAATCGCGCCACTCTTGCCAACAACATTGCCAACTTCGTCAGAGAACATGGACTCGACGGCGCCGACATTGATTGGGAGTATCCTGCTGCCCCGGATCTTCCCGACATTCCTCCTGCGGACCCCATCGACGGCCCCAACTACCTCGCCTTCTTACGGCTGCTGAGGGCTGGACTTCCCACCGGGAAGTCCCTCGCCATTGCAGCGCCGGCCAGCTACTGGTATCTCAAGGGCTTCCCAATCAGGGAAATGGGCAGCGTTCTCGACTACATTGTTTACATGACGTACGATCTTCACGGCCAGTGGGACGCTGGGTCTAGGTGGTCTCAGGATGGCTGTCCAAGCGGCATGTGCCTTCGGTCCCATGTCAACATGACAGAAACATACAATGCCCTGGTCATGGTCACCAAGGCCGGGGTGCCTGCCAACAAGATCATCGTCGGCGTCAGCAGTTATGGCCGCTCTTTCAAGATGAAAGACCCGAACTGCCGAGGGCCCATGTGCGAGTATACCGGCACAGCAAGTGTTTCCCACGCCACGGCAGGCCCTTGTACTGGAGTCCAGGGCTATATTTCCAATGCCGAGATCCAGGAGTACAAAAACGTGAATGATATCAACGTGGCAACACACTACGACCAAGCCACACGTTCCAACATCGCCATCATCAATGGGACTTGGATAGCCTACATGGACACGGCAGAGAAGAATGCTCGGTCCAACATGTACAGGGGCTGGAACTTTGGTGGGACAAGTGATTGGGCCATCGACCTCGACACCTTTACTGAGCTCGAGCGCAAGGTCAGCGGGTCGGTCCTTACCAGCAGGTTCACCAGAAAAGGCGCTACCGGGGGCTCTACGCGCTGGTATGATCTGTCATGCAGTATCCCTGCAGTGGACACGGCAGACATGGACAGAAAGCAGCGATGGGAAGGGTTGATGGCGGATGAGGCGTGGGCTGACGCTATAAAGGCCTATCTGGCACGCACGATGGACGTCGGAAGCTTTTCGTCGTGGATTGTTGGCAAGTTCTTCCGTGGACGCCAAGATGTTCACTGTGGGACGTTGTTGCCGGCAAGCAACTGTCTGAGCCCACAGGAAAACTGCTACGACAAGGACAACAAACCGCCTATACTGACGAATGACCCTCCCGAAAGGACTGGTCCAGCAGGAAAGTTCATCATGAACTCATTTGTTACTCTGGAACAGGTATGTTTCTCTCCGTCTCACTGCCTTGACTTCGTCTAACACTGGTTGATCTGCGAAGCTTTTTGTGAACTACTACGACGCCCTTAGAGAAGCGCAACAAGATGTCGACCTATTCATCCCGGTGATGGAAGATTATTTCATGAAGGAATTTGACGATACCTTTGCGAAACAGATGGGCTATAACATCCTTGCTGCGGTATGACTGCAACCTATATCTGCTTGGTGATTTGTCAGCTGATGTTTCTTGCACAGATTACCAGTCTTGTGACAGGTCCATTGGTTGGGCACGGTATGTCCCCCCCCCCCCCCTTTGGCATCACACACTGCTTGGATGATGCTCTCCATTATGGTTCCGCCCTTGTCCTGTTCTAGCTCCAACAAAGCTACCAGATAGCTAACATGTGCCCCTGTATTAGTGCTGAGGAACTCCGCTGCAACGGAGGTAGTAGATCAGGCGGTTTTGGCAACGGTAATGACTTTCAAGGACAAGAACACTGGGTAAGTTCAGACGTGCTCTCTTCCTTTTCTATCAGTGAGTACACATAATGACTCGATACCGCAGAGATATCGAGGACGATCTTAGCAAGGCATCCACGTTGGCAATGGCCTTGAACGCTACCATGACTCACTGGGAGAGGTCGGTTACCGGGTTCTCAGCCAAGCTGTTTGCTGGTCCAGATAAGGATGGCCACTTGACCCCACTTCTCGCCAACTTCATGGCCGAGGGCAAGCTGATAGGTGGTGGTGTCCCGAAGGAACAGCCTCGACCCGACATCCTTCGGGTAGCCGACATGAAGGACATGATCAGGAGGGCACTTTTCACCTTCATGATTCCTGTGGCGTGGAACAACAATGACGATGCGAACGTGGCTGTTTTGGAGACGGGAAATGCCTGTAGGACCTATGGCAATCTCTGGCAGCGCTATGTCCGGGAAGAAGATGCCAAGAAGGCTGAGTTCTGTTTTGAAAACAAACAGTACCTGCTACTGGCAGCTATGGGGCCCTACCAGAATTGTTACCCATTTGGGACTGGCGGTGGGCAGTCCTGCGACCATGCGTTTTGGAGCCTGCCTCCCGGGTTTGACAAATTGGGTGAATTTAATAATATCAGTGCCACGGATATTACGGAGGGGTAAGTTTTTGTTTTGATGACTTTATCGACTGGTGAACCATAAGCTAACTGCAGAACCTCTTTTTCCTTGACGCACAGAGCATTGAGAACTTGGAGGAGGAACGGTGGGCAGAACGGATACGAGTTTGATCCCGACAATCTCGTTATGAAGGACTACTATGATCCGGTGGATCCGATGAGGAACAAGATCATCGACATGGGACTGATTCAGTTTCCTGTTTGCACGCTTGATCAAGCTAATTTGAGGTGGGGGCACCCGGGTCCGAAGGGAGACTTTTATCCTTGCTGAGGGTGGTATTTTGAAGCGGTTGGGGGTTGGAGAGCCGGGGGGTTGAACAATCGTTGAGTTGATGGCTTTCTGGGAATGGATGTTGTCTTGTGTGATACTTGGGCTACTCTGTACATGATTTTGTGGAGATACTTTCTTGGTGAGATAGTTATTTATGTTGAAGTGTGTGTTTAATCGCGTGCAAACGGATGAGAGGAGAGAAGGGGAGCTTTTAGACGGATGATGTGGTCGGTAATAGAAGAGGACAATTATTACGAGTGCCTATGCAACTGACGGCTTTTCAAGTCAACTTCTTCTTCCTCTCCTCCTCCCTCAACACCTGTTCCATCTTCTTCAAGCCAATCAACCGATATAGCACAAAGTCCAAGATCCACTCCCCAAAGAATGTACTGGCCCAAACACCCTTGCTCCAGCCACCAGCCCAAAACCAATCCGCTCTGCCAAACCAAGACCGCAAGATAAGCGGCCACTCAGGCTTGAGCGCATTAGCCACCAGCTTCTTCGCATAATCCTCCGTCTTGACAGTTGCATTGTTCTGGCTGAACGTCAACCTCTTCTCAAAGATCTCCTTGACCCGCTGATAGATACTTCCCTCAGGCAGCGTCCGGTGGGTCTTGCTCGCGATCTGGCTCCTCACAGTACCAGTCATGGCAACCATGACCCTCACACCAAAAGGCTTGAGCTCCAACCGCAGGGTCCTTGAGTACGACACAACGGCACCCTTGGAGGCGCAGTAGACGGAGCCAAAGACGTAGGGGGTGATGGCGGCGAGGGAGGCGATATTGATGATTAAACCCTTGGAGTTGATGAGCAGATCGGAAAAGGCGGCGCACATGGCCATGACGCCAAAGACGTTTGTCTCAAAGGTCTCGCGGACGTCGTCGATGTCGATGTCGGTGGCGGGGTGGGTGTGGGTGCGGCCGGCGTTGTTGACAAGGATGTCGAGCTTGTTGTTGGTGAGGGCGGAGACTTGGTCGTGGCAGGTCTTGATGCTGGAGGGGCTTGTGACGTCGAGGGGGAGGGTGGTCATGCCCAGGGCGCTGAGGTCGGCGAGGACGGATGGGTTGCGGGCTGTGGCTATGACGTGCAGGCCTGGGGGGAGGGTTAGCAATGGTTGAGAGAGGTCATGATGTTGGATTGACTAACCCTTGGAGTGGAATTCTAGGCATAGCGCATGGCCGATACCTCCCGGGGTGCATCTTTTGGAGGGGATTGGATGTCAGCAATGAGCTTTTATGAGCTTTCCACTGGGGTTGGGTTTTGTTGTGATGCAGTAGGGACACGTACCCGGTGATGAGCACCGTCTTTTGTCCAGGCTGAGGTCCCATTTTCGCTTGCTTATGATGGGTGTCGATGGCAATTGGAGGTTGAACCGGACGTCATTCATGATCTTCACGAACCCCGCCATCGACCGGAATTGGGTTTGACGCGGTCAGCCCAGGTGAGAGCGACCCACTTTAACATGCCGAGGTGTGCTAAACACAGGGTTAGGGCTTGGGCAAAAAACATGGCAAGAACAGACGGGTCAATATTTGGCGGGAACGAAATAGTTTTGCAGGTTGTGAAAAGGGAAAGAACACTCGGTCCGTCCTAAGGTGGAAAGTGCATGTCCTCAGCCCAAGCGTCTGCCTCCAATTTGGTTTGCCTCTTCTCTTGTCCCCGGCATCAGTGTCCCACCCACGCTCTTATCTTCGCTGCCACTTCACTCCCCATCATTGCTGTCCTCTGGCTTATAAACAGAAGCAAAATAATTCGCTGTCGTCGTTTCATCATGAGACTCAACCGTGTCGATGAGCCACTCAGCCGGGCACGCCGGGATAATTATGTCCGAGAGGTCACAGGTGGTTCTGTTACAGGGTCTTATCGACAAGCTAATGGCGTGGCGGAATCTAGAACTCGGTGCGGGTCGATAGAAAAAAGCTTAACGTATGCAAGATCGTTTCTAGCTCGACACAACCCCACAATCTACTCACACCCGATTCGCCTATATCAACGCATGCCTCCTCCAAGAGGAAAAGTCAACGCTTCAAACTGCGAGCTGAGCGGTGGGGCTGTCTCAATATCGCATAGCCGCGACCCCAATGGCAAGCTGAGAAGCCGCGTCGGGACTCCTCCGCAGCTATCAGATGCAGAGTCCCGTTTCTGTTCCTAGTTCATAGGACTAGAATTCTCGTCGAGCAGGAATCCAGGATACTCATAGTGTTGTCAACAAAGCCAAGTGCACGCCACGGAGCAAATACACAGCTGAACGGATGGTCTGGACTCTCCCTTGCAGCATTGGGGGCGTTTCTGAGGCCCAGACCGCGGAAGACGCAGTCGTGAGCGTCTGGGGCCGGCTCGTCGTGGTGCGAGTAAAGTCCAGCGAGATGGATAAGACGACAGGAAAAAGTGTATAAGATGGTCTCGCTCTTCTTAAAACACTCGCAACACAACAACTTGACCTCTTCAAATCCTCACATTTGCCCTACAAACAATCTGCAACCGTCATCATGAGCACCATTATTGACGCCCCCCTTCCCATTCCCCCTCCAAGCGTGGTGGAGGCTGTTGCGAAGCCCGAAGACATTCTTGCGCAGCCGGATATTGATGAGAAGAATGGTATGTTGTCTCTATTTCAAGGCCTATCGACTGTTTGTGAAGCCCTGTTCTAACGGAGACTTGACAGAGAAACGGAATCTCAGTATCGGCGAAGAGAAGTTTCTGGATATTGACCCAGGTGTCTTCGACAATGAGATGGTCAAGCTCGCAGACGGCGATGTCACAAAGGGCACCTACACGGGAACCCAGGCGGCGCTGACCCACGCGTACGCCCGTATCGAACGAAGGTTAGAGTTCTTGGTTTCACACTTTTTTCTTAAACTTGCGTTTCCGAACGCGACTGAGGCGTACTGACAAATTGTAGTTACGAGACATACTTTGATGCTCTGCAGATTGAGCCAACCCTCCCTCGTTACATTGAGAAGGACTTGAAGAAGGAGTTGTACCAGTGGTCCGACTACCCAACCAACAGGGATGGCACGCCAGCCCAGTATCCTCCTCATCTCCAGACTATCCCGCGCGCGGACCAAGTCTCACAGACCGATCTTTTCAACAGGCTCGGCCTGGCAAACACTTTGCTCATGATTGCCAAGCTCGTGCCTGATACTTGGTACGGCAAGACGGCCGACTGGGGAATCAGCATTCTTCAGCGCGCCTTCAACGGCAGCCCCATGGACGGCACTATCAAGCAGATCGAGGAGTACAACAGATCGCACCGCAAGTCTCCTACAGACATCGAGGAGGGGAAGAATATTGGCTTGTTGCCTGACTGGTTCACCGATCGCCGCTTCGCCGACCAGTCCTTCACCGGCACCAACCCAACCAGTATTACCGTCGTGCCAGAGGCCCTCCTCAACGAGTTCATAGCCGCTGCAAAGCAAGGTGGTTACGACAAATGGGCCACCATCCTGCCGACCATTGATCCCGCGACATTGTATGTCCAGGATGCGCGTAACATCCGCCGTAGTTTGGGAGTCGACGAGAATGAGATCCTGTTCAACAAGGAGCCCAAGTCGGATGACAGCTGGGGTTGCGCCGCCGTCACTCTCTTCCAACTGCACCCCACCGGCGAGCTGCACCCCATCGCCATCTGCACCGATTACAAGGGTGACAGTCTGGCGACATCTGTTACCATCTTCAACAAGCGCATGCTGCCAACGGACTCCTCGGAGGGTGAGGAGCATGACTGGCCATGGCGCTATGCGAAGACGTGCGCGCAGGTCACCGACTTTCTCCGGCACGAGGTGAGCGTCCATCTCACGCAGGCACATCTCGTCGAGGAAGCCCTGATTGTGGCCACCCACCGCACTGTGCCCATGGAGCACATCATTTACCGCTTGCTCTCGCCCCACTGGTTCAAGACACTGTCGCTCAACGCGGCCGCGCGCGCCACACTGGTTCCTCAGATCATCAAAGACATCGTCGGAGTCAAGCCCGATAACCTTTACCAGTATGTCCGGTCCGAGTTTGAGAGCTTTGACTACGTTGGGCGTTACGTTCCCAACGACCTCGCGAGCCGTGGCTTTCCCAACACCGCCGAGGGTCTGGCGGAGCCACAATACCGCAACTATGCCTATGCCAAGAACATGTTGTCCATGTGGTACTGCATCCGCCGGTATGTGAAGAGCATGCTCCTCACGTACTACACTGAAACCACGGCCGACGCCGTTATTAGCAAGTGCGAGATCATCAAGGCGTGGTACACCGAGGTGCAGACGGCAGCCCACATCAAGACTTTCCCTACCATCACCACACTTGACCAGCTGATCGATGCTGTGACGATGAGCATTCATATCGCTGCGCCTTTCCACTCGGCTGTCAACTACCTCCAGAACTTTTACCAGGTGTTTGTCATTGCCAAGCCGCCCTGTCTTTGCTCCCCTCCACCAACTACCCTCGACCAGTTGAAGGGGTACAAGGAGGCCGATCTTGTCAAGGCGCTGCCTATTGGCCGTCAGAGGCAGTGGTTGTTGGCTGCGCAGATTCCTTGGTTGTTGTCTTACAAGGTATGTACTTTTCTTTGTCTCTTCGAAAACATGACACTAACCCATCGCGACAGGTTTCCACGGAGCGCAGTCTCATCTCCTTTGCGCAGTCGCAGTGGTGGTCACGCAAATACGCCCAGACCACTAAGGAGAAGGCGGTGCGTGACATCAGCGAGAGGTTCCATGACGACCTCCGTGCGCTAGATGTCGAGTTTACTCAGACGAGCAATAACATGAGCGAGGGGAGTATCCCTTACATGGTCATGGACCCGGATAACACGGCGGTTTCCATTTTGATCTAGCCATCTTCTTTTCCTCCAGATCAGTAGAAAGGGAGAGGGGAATGCAAAGAAATGTAACAGGAAGGGCTCAGCATTGGGGTTGGTCTCAGGGGATTATCGAGTTGTACTTGCCATCTTGAAGAGGAACTACAAGTTATAAGAGAACAAAAACAGAATAGAATTTTTCAACTTGCAAGTCAGTACCTCATGTAAAAATGCTGAACGATATGGTAATGAGACTTAATTGACTGTCTAGACATACAATGAAGAGGTTGATGGTTGAATATATACACGGAGAGATGCCCCTGAATACCCCTGAGACATAGTCTCACCTGCTAGCAAAAAGAATCCTTACAGGAATGGTTGATGGCTGAAAAAATGGACGATATCCTCCGTACCTACCTATATGAATTCATTCACGCGAAACTAGGTATGTTAGGTACTTCTTCTGGGTTGCAAGGTACCTGATGTGAAAGGTAGAAGTGGTGTTTACGGTCGTGGTATTTTCCTCACATGGATTTCTCTGCTTGAAACTGGTCGGAATTTCGTGTTTTGATGCCATATCCATGTCCGAAGAATCAGTCTCAGAAGGGCAGGTGGACAGATACAGCAATGAACTGGTGAGACAGCTTGACTAGAGGCGGCGACGATCACTATAGTGCATTTCATCTAGCTTTGAAACGAGGAATAGTATTTGTTAATCTAAATAAGAAACAAAAGCAACAAGGGAAAGATAAAGAGATCCCGCCACTACAGAAAACCCAAAGAGCCCTTCAATCCACAGCCCAGCGTTATCGAGAAATGAGTAGCAACCAGCCACAACCTCAATTTCCCCATGTAGAGCCTAGAGCCTGCTTCGTACGTTGGCGTTGATGTTGTATGCAGCCCCAAGCTGAGACTGGGAGAACAAAAACAGGGCCACTACATCCCTCAACTCCTTGTCTGCGTCGGCTAGCTTTGCATCGAATACTTCATCAACGTCTACCTCAAACAGCATGGGGTGACTCTGGGAGAAGAGATAAAAAGTCTTGACCCTACTGATCTGCCCATGTGTTGGGTTTTTGAGGACTGCGGAGCCGCAGATCTCGTTGAGATGGAAAGTCCATTGGTAGAACAGTTGCGGAGTGAGCCATGGTAGACTCTTACCGTTACCGACCTTGCTGTCATGCGTGTTCACTTCTGTTCTCAGCGTCACCTCGGTCTCAGTCTTGAACGTCCCATTGGCGATTCGCTTCAGATAAGACTCGAACCTACGGAAACTGTCAGCCCATCCAAGTCACACAGAAACCGCAAGGAATCTCCACTGGCTACCTTATCATCTCGGTGTTGGCTTCGAAAGTCCCAAAGACAAGGTTTTCCGGCTCTTGTGCAGAGTCTGGCTTCCCATTCCCTCCAAAGGAGTAAGCGGAGCGATGAAGCCACTGTGTCACGCGGAGTTAGTTTTCGTTGTGCGACAGCAATGTCCTCTCTGTTTCCCCATCATGCTGTACCTACCTCAGCTGGGCGTGGAGTCAGTGTATCATTGTCCCATATCTTGAAAGGCGATCTGTTTTGGGTTAGCCGTCCGTGGGAGATGTTGAGAGTACGGATGTGACTTGCCTCGTTTGCGCTGATGTTGTCCATAACCGCATTCTGGGTTCGTATCCGGGGCCAGTTGCCTGCAATCTTGATATTTGTCTTGGAAATGGTCGTTGGCTTGGTGGCATAGACACTGGGTTTGATCAGTCTTGTGCCTCTGGGAAAAGGGACAATGGCATCAGGCTGCATGTTGGTGGGAAACGGATGGCTGCTGCCCCATGTATAGCCCTTCGAAATCAACGATTCCAGGTCGTTTTTCGCAATGTACGTGTTGTAGTAACCCTGAGGATGAGAGCCGAGCAAGATCATGTTCTGCAGGTTGTCCGTGGGGAGTGCGAGTCGGGCTTTTATGCCCGGCACAGTGGCTGCATCAAAGACCACGGTCATGAACTTCCCCCACTTTTCATTGATTTTCTTCCGGTGGCCCTGATTGTCGAAAAGTTTTAGGGAGTTGATCAGATCCTTGGATATGCTCTTGTCTCGCAGAATTTGGGATTTGACAGTCCATGTCAACAGATCTGGCACCATCTGGTAGACCAGCTCCAAATTGCGGTTGAGGACAGCTTCTTTGGGAATCTTCCAGAATCGCGCCTTGACGGAAAATGGCTCCTTTGCGACAGAGGCGGCAATATGAGCAACAACTGCAACTGGGTAAGCGCTAGAAAAGGGGGCTAGAGATTTCCAATGTGGACTTACGGCACCACCTGATGAAAATATGCCTTGCCACCTTTGACGCCGACATCGACTTCATGTCATCGCGATGTAGAAGATAATAAAGAAACTTGGCGCCGGCCATGGCCGGGACGCTCCCAGCACTGTCTCGGGCTACCAAGTGGGATCCATCCCACTGAGAAAGCTTTCTTTTCAGTTCTTGGGCGTCCTGATACTTTGGCACAAGTTCATTCGGTAGCAAGTCATGAATATTGCGTTGGTCTTGATCGGGCTTCTCCAGTTCGAGAGCGACAGTAAAAGCGCAAAATGTCAGCCAGTCTCGCGTATAGGCCTGTTGGCGCCCCGGCCAGTCACCGCAGAGCCGGGTGTCCAAGATCTTGAGCGGGATGAAGGTGTTGGACATGACGTGGCCACCTGGTATGACAGATTGGTTGCTTCCGGAAAACACATATTTGTGGCTAGACTGTTGAGAGGCATCCGCATATGTGAACAAATTGTACGAGTAATTCTGGTATACAAGTCAGCACCAGAATCCAAGAGACGAGGCGTATGATGGTGATGTGCTTACCTCGTCGACGGGCTCATCGTCGTCAGGCCCCTTGTCTTTCACGATGGCAATCTTGTTCTTGAGCGGTGCGTCCGCATCAGTGGGGTCTGACAGCAAGGAAAATACCAGGGGCCAGGAAACTGTTTTCGATCTTGTTCTTCCGGAGCTTTGTGCAGCAGCCCCCCATGTGAATGGAGAAAGAGGAGTTTGGTCTCCCTCCACCATGAATCCTTCTATTTACTGTTGTAAGTGATGCGAACATCATTACCGGCCGGATAGGTTGTTACTGGGACAAACCTTGAAATTCAAATGTTTGCTCCCCTCCTCCGAGTTCGTCAGTGTCTAGGGGGCTTGTCGCAAGCTCCAAGTACGTTTTGCCATCAGGCAATTCCAACTCTTCGACAAGGTAGTTAAAGTCTAGGAAATTCAAGGAGTCAGTTCCAGGCCACTGCTACTGTTAGTGGCTTGCTTAACGTATATTATAAGCGAGTCGTACATATAAGCGAGTCGTACAGTCTCCACCACCCTACAACAACTATCCTCAATTATACCGCAATAATATTAGGAAGCAACTACAATTACATCAGAAACGGCTGAATCAGATGATTCCCCAGCCTCCTAGCAAGTGCGCGCGTTATGGCCAGGCTTGCCGCACACACCATAGCACCGAACCGTCGTACGAGCCCCCCCTGCACTACCGCTATCCGGCTATATTTCTTCCACTACCTCCCCACCCACGGCCTTCTAGTCTAGTAGATCCTATGCATCTTACACAGTAAGTGATCCTCCGAGCCGTACACGTGTTTTTTTAGCTCTCCGGCGCTTACTTAGTGCCTCATTGGCCTTACGGAGCGAAGAGACCTCTGCCTATAAGAGGGCTACTTAGTGTATTATAGCTATCGTACCCTTAGTAAATTAATCTATAGCACCTAATATTAAAGTCGGGGAGTTATTTTAATAGTTAATAATATAAATTTTAATAAGCGTTAAGTGTAAGTTAGTTTTTCGGGGGTTTTATAGTATTTGGAATACCTAAGGTAATGCCGTACCTGGCCTTAAGGATAGGGGTATAGGCGTATAAAGCTTTATATTTAATTTAAAAAGTACCTTTTCTAGATCGTATAGTATAAGGCTAATACCCGTAAAGCTACCCTATATATTCTTCTCTATTATAGAGGCGAAAAAAGCTTCGCGAAAGGTATAAAGAAATTTAAGTTTATTTATATAATTAATATATATATATATTAAGCCCTCGATTTAATAGCCGTACATTTATTTTAACGGCCCTAAAGGTAACTAATATCGAGTA